CAAAAATGTGAACGAAAACCGGCACACCCGCGTATCGGATATAGAGTCGTATCGGATTCGAAATCGCAGTTTTATTTGGCTGGCAATCCGTTGAATACACTCGCACATCCACCAGAGAGTCGCTGTAAGTGCCGGCCACTCGAAAATGCACTCAACGCATTTGTAAATATTCAATATTTGGATGCCACAGACGACGTAGACAACGACGACGACTGCCCTTTTTCAGAGGTTTTCCTAGGGGTTTTTAAGGGGGTTAAGCCGGGGGAGCGGGGGCTTAACTGGGGATGGTGGTGGACTGACGTCCAGGGCGGTTTTTTTATGTTTACTCTGGACACTCAAATTAAATTGCTATTTACATAGTTGGGAACGCATGAAATGCATTTATCACCGAACACACAGATACGCCACTTGCTGTTTGTTACTTTTATTTTCCGTCGACGTTGGTTTATGTTTCGTGGTTGTGTTACGTTGCGTTTGCGTTTGCTTTTTTATCAGCGAACAGATTGACAAGCGACGGATACCGACAAAGGTATCTAGATACAGATACACAAAATGCAATGAAACGCTTGAGCTCGAAGACCGCGGCACAAGGAACTTGGGTTCAATTACCCAAGAGAACGCGAGCGCAGCAAATCAACTTAATTTGTATCTTGAAGATGCAAGAGCCATTCTGCATCAGCTGCATCCTTGGCATCATCATCATCATCATCATCATCACCGTAGTCGCAATCGCATCCCGAACCGGCTTTTGGTGGGTGATTTTTTGTAGTCGGGGGAAACTCGGAAAAACTCAGTACGAATACGAATCGAACGGAAGGAACGGAGCGGAATATAATATCTAATCGAATCGAACAGAACCGAACTGCACGCGCTCGAAGTCTGTTTATTACTGAGCGCTGCCGGCTGTTCGAAGTTGTTGGTGGGAACCGGCTTTTCGCGCTCACCATGGAAAAAATACTGGGTGCAGATGGGGCTCTCTCGCTGGAGGATTTTACGCACTTGTGACCAGTATTTTATGCTGCCCGGTATTTTTGGTAGTGTTGCCGAGCTGAAAGCAGCATTTGCTGCGCGGCAATGTTTAAAAAATTATATTGCTAATTTATTTTGTTACGAAATATACTGTGGAAGGAATTTTAAAAGATTGGTTTACGAAGAAGGTCCTAAAAATAATAAAAATTGTTGTGAAGAAGAATATAGTTTTTTTTTTTAAATCATTGGCAGTCAGATGAACGAACTATTCAAGTTTTTCATTAAGAAATTTATTAATATTTGATTTAATTTAATATATTAAAAGTTCACTTAATTTTTTTCAAGGATTTAAAACTACTTAGATAAATAGCGCTTGGATTGTACCATTAACCTGTGTTTACAAATAAAAACCAATACCAAATGTATTCTATTAATTTATTATTTAACTTTAAATTGTCAAATTATTTAAAACACATTTAAAAGGATTTAATACTTTATGAAATAAGAGGAAACACCAACCATAATTGCATATTATTAAGAGATTGCTAAATTGTATTATATTTAATTATTTTCACTGACTGAACCTGAATCTCTTCATTAATTTAATTGATTAAGTCCCCCCTGAAACATAAATTCAGTAATGCAAAATAAAGCTATCAGTTGTCGGCAATCAAACCAGAGTCACTATGCAAACCGCCCGCTGTCTCATCAACTGCCGTTTCCCCCGATTTTAAATCCAAACAATAATGCGTCTTAATGACCAAACCAAGAATCGGCTAAAATATGGGGTGGTCTAGCGGCCTGAGAGGAAATACATTCGTGGCTTGCTGTTTTACGAGCAGAAGTACGCGCGTGGCTTGGAGAACTGCAAGAGGCTTCCACTACCAATTTTGTACACTCAAAAAAATTTACAACTGAATTATATTTTAAAAACCTTTAAAATTAAAGGATAATGCTTTTATTTATTAAGTTTAAAAACGAATAAATTCTAAACATGAGTCCTGGATTTTAATCCATAAAATCTTATGCATAAAAAACAAAAATTTGTTTTGTTTATTGAACTTTAAGAATTAGTTAGTAATTTAATATATGTCTGTGATGCTAGGATGGAAAATTAAAATTAAATTAAATTAAATTAAAATTTAATATAATTTAAGGTCATTTTTTTTCATGTGCATCTAAGACAGTCCACGGCTTCTGTGCGATTATGAGCGAGTGGCTGTGTGTGTGTTTTCGTTTTATAGTTTTCCGCTTGTTTTTTTACGAGGCCTTTCAACCCCGCACAATGGAAAAGCAACCCAGGAGCCACAAAAACAATTGCAGCAGATCCTTGGGCCGGCGTTGACTGACACCCAACAGTCGTAAACTGCCGTTGCCATTTGTATAAACTATGTATCCGAGAGAGGGGTGGTGCCCCCCTCCCCCTTTTTCCCCCTTCAATCGCCGCCCCTGATTAACAGCCCCGGCCCTTTGTGATTATATCTGCGTGGAAATGCGTGTGTGCGGTTATCGAATGTTGGCCATGCCCACAAGGGCAGAAAGTAAGGAAAGGGACCATCCAAAGTTGGGCCTCCATTGCGCTTTTCCATATCCCATATCCCATATCCCATTTCCCATTTTCCATTTCCCAATGCCCGCTGACTCTGGACGAACGACAGTTATTGATGTCATAAAGTTGGAGATTTATGCCATGCCCTGCCTGAATATAGGGCTTATGTTTTGTTATATCTGTTGTTTCATTTTTGGTTCTTTTTTTGTGCCCTCCCAGATTTTTGGGGTGAAAACGATCGGACGAACCAAAGCTGCAAATGGTGTGTTAATAATATTGTGTTCCAGTTGGTATTCCAAGAGGGTTGTGAAAGGGTAATATGTTAATTGGATAAGTAAAAGGTATATTATTTTAGTTGACTTAAGAAGCCACAGCTTAATTAACTATTAAAAACTATATAATTCTGATTAAAGTTCTTGAGAAGTATAGTAAATACATTTCAAAACGATTCTTAGAGAAGCTCTTATTTGGCCCTAAAAAATCGTAACTTTCCAACTAATTTCTTGACAATCTCTTTCATCTTTTAGGTCCCTTCCAGCTAACCATTTAGCTTCCATCCATACTTGTTTAAGTTATTATTTCGAACTGCTTACCGTAACTCAACGCCTCACAATCGTATAATTTTATGGAGCATCTCAAAGTTGCAACGAATTCCGGCTAGAATCGAAATCCGAATGCTCCGCTAGCAAACATCAAACATTTGAAGGCATTAAAATAAATTTTAGTAACGCGGCCTTTGCGTAGACTAAACAAAATAAACATTATATGCAGCGTTTGAAGGTGTTTTTGGGCAGAGCCACAAGTCAGAGGCCCCGTGCGCACTTGCTATAAACAAATAAGGCGAAAAAAGTACCCAAAAATGGAGGGAAAATCGAAGAGGAGGGAAAACATCAGCGGAAGGGCCCCCAACAACAAGTTTTTAATGCATGTCGATGTCGTCGTCGCCGCCGCAGATCAAAGGCAAATCGTATATACACATATATATATATACATATATAGTGTTGCGAGAGAGGTTGGGGTGCTGCATAGGATACCATTCGAATGGGTTGGATTGCTGGATGGGTGGATTGGTGGATAGGTGGATAGGTGGACTGGTGGAAATGCAGGCAGGGGTGGTCGTTTAATTGCACTTGCCGCTTACTTTTTTATCTGCTTGCCTGCCATGGAGTAACCTGCGCATGTGTAGTTGCCTTTGGTTATTACCATTGCCTTTGCATTTGCCTATGCCTTTGATGTGCGCTGTTTATTCGAGCTCTATAAAAGACCATAAAATATGCATAAAACACATAGGCAATTGCGATTGAAGCCCTGAACAGGCATGAATATGGCACATGGAAATGGAAATGGAAATGGAAATGAAGCGATTAAGTGCAGACGCTGGCAATTGGAAAGAAATTGTCGTCGGCAATTGCGTTGAATTCACTTGATGATGGCCAGAGTAGATGACTTATGTTGACACAGGAGGGTGATTCTGGACCTTCAAAGGGGAAACATGACAGTTTTGTGTAATGAAATAATCAGAACACAAAGTGCAAGTTATACTGACATTTCAATACATTTAATATGTCCAATTGATTCAGAATTTAAATGATTTACTATTTCTTTTAAATTGTTTGATATTTCTTTAAATGTGAATTGTCCTTTTACATCAATGATCCATTTTTTCTTTAGACATTTTTAATAATTTTATTTATCAATTTAAGAAACATCTTTTGTTGCTTATATAAAATCTTATCACAGCTATTGGTTCGTAATTAAAACATTTCTATGCATTTTTAATAAAAGTAGTTACTTTAGAAAACTGGAAAGCTAAATTTACTTTAAATGCAATCAATCTCAAACTCAACACTTTTTTTTTAAGATACAGCATATTTAAAGAAATCGTAAACATAAGGTCTTCTTAATTTCATACATTTCTTGCCTTGCTAATAATTAATTAAAAAAATTCTACGAATTGATAATAAATCCAATTTAACACCTTCTTTGAATTTATAATAAAAGAAGTTCATGTTTTAGAATCTTAATTAACATACTTAGGAAACTGGAAAACTAAACAAAATTTATATAAAATCGAACTAAACTCAGCACGGTTTTTTTTAAATAAAATAAAATATATATATCACAATTCCATGAACTTCTTTTCCAGGACCTCAAGTACAAATCTAGATAACTTCATTGTAATATTTAATGAAAAAGCAACCCTCCAACTCCCACCAAAGAAATGCCAGAATGTCGAGCTAGTTTACGACTTTTTATAGGGGGTTGGGTTTTCCTGCTGCAGCAGCGGAGTTTTTCGTCATCCGATGCGTGCTGCTTTCGTCATAAAAAGCGCATAAAAAGCTGTTGAACACTCATCCGGGTTCCATGGGCTTTACGGCCGTGCCAAGTGGGCTACGAATTTACGATGGTGGAGCGGAGGAATTTTACGAGGTCCCCGCAACGCTTGTTCCGCCGCAAAAAAAAAAAAAAAAAAGAAAAACGATTGCGCTATAAAATAGGGCTCTATGAGAGCCATAAAATATTTATTCTACTAAAAAATAACTGTACATGGGATATATATACACACAGACACACACATGCATAAATACATATAGTAAATATAAACTAGATAAATATAAATACAATACAAATAGATTTCTGGCGATTTCACAAGTTCCTTTTTTTGATTCTCAACAACAAAAGGGAGTAACACTTCGAGGAGCATGTGACCGAGATCATGGAAACTGGCTGAGAAGGGGCACTTGCACTCCTCACACAATATCATCGGCCACCTGGGACTCCTGCTCCAGGATCACACTCTCCCTCAGTTTGCTCTTCAGAGTCTTGCTGGAATTGACGTCCGTCAGGCAGGGCTCGTTCTCCGGATGATCCTGGTGATCCTGGCCATCGGTGGGCCCATTGGCGTGGCCGCCATCCTCCAACTGGACCTTGCCCAGGTGACGACGGTAGCGGTACCACACCTTCAGGCCCAGCACCAGCACAAAGTACAGGAAGGCCAGGCAAATGATCACGATGATGATCCTGGTCACAATCGAATTGGAGGCGGATTTGCTGGACCTCACCACCAGCAGGACATCTTCCCGCTTCAGTCCCGCACTGCTGCCAATGGTGCAGCCATAGCGACCCTCATCCTCCGGCCGAACATTCCGTATCTCCAGCGTGCCGTTCTCCATCAGCAGAAAGCGTTCCGCATCCGTGTTGTTCTCGTTCAAATAGGTGAGATCCTTGTCCCACTGAATCGTCGGTTTCGGTTCTCCTACCGCCTGGCAGTGGATCACTGCTGTTCCAGCTTCGGCCACCTCAATGGGTCCCTCGGGTGGAACACTGAACTTGGGCGCCACCACCACATTGATGGACACGGTGGCACTGATCTGACCCTGGCTGTTGGAGGCCATGCAGGTGTACTGACCCCTCTGCTCATTGCTGACCTGGCTAAAGATCAGAGTGCCATTCTGGTCGGTCACATTGGCGGGCAGCGGCAGTTGGGTTTCCTAGAAGGATAAGAAGTAGGAGTTAAATGGGAGGTTCTTATGCAACAGTAAGTTGTGGTTTATACTATTCTAAAAAAAAAACAGAAGTCGATTCAAAATTTAAATGTTTTTAAACCGCAGATTTTTATATTTGAACATGGAAAATATTATTGCTTACAAAATTGAAGGACAAGAAGTAGGGGTTTAATGGAAAGTTCTAATGGCAAAGTACGATGTGTCTTATTATAAGCTTAGAAAAGTACAGAATTCGATTCAGAATTTAATAGTTTCTTAAAATCACACTTGTTTAATTGGTTTGAATATTTAAATTAAATTTTTTTAGAAGTCAAATGCTAAAATAATATTCTCTGTTGCCAGAGATATATACATATATTTGAAGACGGAAAATATTATTATTATTATTCATCTAAAATGTATATTTAGAATTTCTTTTTTCCAGAAACATGTTTATAGCAAAACAAACATTTTGATTTCTTAAGCATTGGCTCTTTTGAAACAAAGTAAATATTTTGTGACTGAAATGTCCTTTTATTCTTATAAATCAAAGTAACGACCTTTTCTTCAGGTAATCAAATATATATTTTAATGACTTTCATTTTAATTCGCAGAAATTTAAAATTTGATTACTTATCTAGTTGGCTATCTAGTGTTTACTCACCCTCATCCATTTGACTTGTGGCGGTGGGGTTCCCTGTGCCTTGCAGTGCACTTTACTGAGAGAACCCAACTCCAAGTTCTTGGAGGTGGGCTGTGGCACGAACTTAAGCTGTTCTATGACCACGAGGACTCCGGCAATGGAACTGGCTGCCGGGGAACCCTCGATGAGCAACTGGCACTGATACTGACCGGCATCGCTGGCCAGAACGCTGTTGAACTGCAGCGCACCACTGTCCCTGTTCAGGGCCACTCGCGAATCCTCGCGCAACATGGTCTCCAGCTGGGGTTCGCTGGTGGTGCTGCTCATCCTGCCCAGCTCCACTTGACGCAGTGTTTTGTTGTCCTTCCGCCAGCGCAGAATGACGCTGCTGCTCTGAAGATAGCCATCCGGCAGTTGATAGTCGCAGGGCAATTGCAAAGGACTCTGTTCCTTGATGGTTATCGAGGGTTGGGGTCCTCTCGCGATGCGCACATCCTCCAAAGACAGGGGCGCGGCTGAGGAAGGGTGAGATATGGGACGAGTTATGGAAACGAAACAAAAAGATGAGTCAGTCAGACGATTCAACTCACCGTAAGAGCACAAGATCAGGCAGCAGAATCCCAGGCCGCAGCTCAACAATCGTCTTCCGTTCAGCCCCATTTCGAGCCGAAGAACGAAGAATTCTTTTGATTTCACTTCGTACTTCCTTCGCTTCTTTCGCACAAAACCGGTGTGTGTGCTCTTCTTTTCTGCTTGTTTATTTTTCCGATTTTTAAAGGAATTCCGTTTGTCTTATGTTTCTCTGCCTTTGCCTTTGCCTTTGCCTTTGCACTACTTAGGTATTTTGTTTGCCTCACTTCATTTCATTTATTCCGGCCGGAGCGGAGAGCATTTGCTTTATGGTTATTTTTATGTTACGCACACGCGTCACGCTTTATTATCCTGCCGCAGACGCACAGCCCGGGGATCTTTCGAGCGATTTGGGTTCGAGTTTGAGGGAAGATGGAATCACTATCGCTGTCTGGAGGGCACAACCTTCCGCGTTCGGTTTCGGAACTCAACTGACGACGCCGCATCGGGCTAATTTAACGCTGCCAGCCGGCGCACGGTTCGCACATGCGCCCTCAATTGTACCCAGTATTACCCGGTATTTCTACACGGGTGCAGGGAGAATCTCTGCTACTACCATAACATCCACTGAGCTACTACCTTTTCGAATAAGTAAGATGGTAAAATAGTAGTGTAAATTATACGTTAATTTGGCAGAGTAAAATTCACCTATCAATCTATAAGTAAATATGACGTACGGTATTATATAAAAAAGTATCTTTCAGATATAGTATATTTCACAAAACTCTGCTGGATTTTACTACCACCACTAAATCCACTGAGCTACTACCTTTTCAAATGAGTAAGATGGTAAAATAGTAATGTAAACTATAAGTCAATTTGGCAGAGTAAAATGCATCTATCAATCCACAAGGTTTATGAGGTAAGGTTTTAATTAAAAAAGTATCTTTCAGATATAGTATTCTTCACTAACATTTGTGTGTCCATAATTGTCAATTCACATTCTTGAGTAAGTCTAAAGCTGCTTCAATATTTGAATTTTAATTATTTATACAATATATTTTTTTCAAACATTCTGTAAATAAAAATAATCCGTAAACAAACAAACAGACAACAAAATAAGACCATTTATACTTGAATTTTAAATTTTAGAAAACTTATTCTCATAATGAGAAATAACATACCCAAAATTAGAGGTATAGTACTATAAAATATACGGATCTGTGACTTAAAATGTTTTAATAATTTTAATTTAAAGCTGAAATTTAAACAAAAGTTATTTGGAGGACATGGATTACATTTATTTTCTAATTCAAAATTAATATTAGCAAATTTTGGACAAGGAAATTTACAATCAATTTCTATAAACAAATACTAATCAATACTATTCGAATACAGCCTACTTATCTAGGAAAAAAATTATATAAATTTTAATCTCGTTCTGAGCAGTATATACGAGCAACTCTTGAGAATCTTAGGCTTATTGTCCGTGAGGAAAGGGGTAATGCAGTCTAAAATTGAGGTATGGTCGAGACACGGTTGTACAGCGTCTGTCTTTTGGCCACGCGGAAAGGACATCGGGTCATCATCTTGAAGACGACGGCACCGCAGACGACGAACAGTCCCCAGAATACGTATGTGAAAAGCAGGATAAAACGATTTGGCTGCCACAGAACCGTGTAGCTTAGGTTGTAGTTTTCTAAAATCAAGATTAGGGTCAAGTTGAGCCTGAAACAGGTTTAAAACCATTGCAAAACTCACCCAACACCGCATAGCCAATGCCAATCTTAGACTTTCCCATGCGATACGAGGATGTGGGCACCATGATCTCCAAATAGCTGTGCTCCTGCTCTTTCAGGGCCTTCAGATCAAAGTGCCTCACGGCATTTTCATAGAAATTGATCACCTTGGTGGAGGGGTAAATAAATATTCTCGATTCGTGCCAGTGACCCGAGAAAATGATATGTGGATCCAAGTCACTGATGATGGCCCTCAGCAAGGGTCCACCGCCAATGAGCAGCGGTGCATGCGAGACGCCAATCCTCAGCCGATCGGCATTGTTATCCCTATCCGGATTGGTAAAGTCCAGCAGCATGCGGTTGATCTTGAAGAAGCGCAAGTGATTGTCATAGTCAAAGAGGTCTTCGCTCATGAATTCGTTCTCGAAGCGCCTCTGGTTCGAGTTGGATATGTAGTCGCCATTCTCGCCGCCAATATCATTGTCACCCGGCACATGGACGCGCTGAAAAAAAGCAGAGATCATCCGAAACTATTAGGTTTTAAGGGGTTATTGTTCATTAACATACTTTTAAAGTACCTATGTTAAACTAAGTGCTAACTATTTTAAATAGATGGAAAATTGTTATATGTAATTATCTCTTAGATTAGATTATTTCAATAGTTTAAGAAGTAATCATAAGGATCCTTACACATAATTATAGGGAACTCTTACCTTTTTGAACTTTTTGTTCTGATAGATTCGCCTGAATCGCTGCACATACTGCTTGTATTCCTGGGCCGTGGCTATATTGCCCTCGTCCAGCAGATCGCCCAGGAAAACGATGATATGGGGCTGCGTGAAGGCCAGAGCTCGCTCGAAGGTCTTGGCTAGATATCTATCCGAATCGTATCTGGCCAAGGGACTGTGCGAGGATCGATCATACGAGTTTCCCAGGATCTGGGGATCGGCGATGAGCAGCAGGCGGGTGCAATTATCTAGTTGGGAGAGCCGGTAAGTGGGTGTTCCTTTTTGGAAACTGGGTTACAACTTACCTAGTTTGCAATCGATTGGCTGCCAACTGGACTGGGCCATGTAGTACACTATGAACTCGTTAAAGAAGACCAGCAGCAACGTCAGAGCCACAAAGCCGCGGCACACTAATCTGTTTCTTTCGGGGATTACAATTGGTTGGATTAATTGCTTGGGCTTATTGGGATGAAGGCTATTTCGACCCACCTATTAACTACGCGCAAGGAAGCCATAATCCCGGCTATGCCACATCGGTTTGGATTGCTTGATTAATACTTTCGGTTGTCTGCTGCCAAATGCAAGTGGCTTACATAGCGTCTATATGCATACGGTCTATATTTAAATCTGCACTGCCCATGCAATATTTACGCAAGTCTGCTCATATTTTGGGGAATGTGGAGCTGCTGCAATGGACGGCGGTCAACTGGCCAGAACCGCCGCATCACCGATTTCAGGGCACACGCTTAATTGGATTAGACACATGGAACATGGAGAGCCGTTACAAACAGCGTGTTGCGCCTTTTACCTTTCTCCTCTGTCGTTTTGGCCATGCGCGCCATCGGCTTTTGAAAGCGGGAAATTCCGTTACAGCTTTTGCCGGCTGCAGGTGCCAGTAATTGTGCAATTATCTTTATCTAATGTTTGCGCTTCCTGCATTAATCGCGGAAGTGTGGCAACGCCACAGCTGTTTGCCAAGCACAACAAACAAATCTAGAGATGGGCGCGTGACAGAATCCTGCGGGACTTAGATAGTTGTTAAATCTTTACTAACTTTATGTGCTATGTACTAAGTATTGTTGATTTAGTACCAAATTTAGTACCGAAATCTTTTAGCTTGTTCACAATCAAAGAATGTTATAAGCAATACAAAATATGTAAAAATTGTAACGAACATATTCCGAGTATAATTCGTAACACGCAAAAACAGCTGAAATGCAATCGAGAAATAATCGCATAACAATCTGGCCACACTCCCGCGCAGCTTCTGGCAACGCTCCGTGCGTGGATTAATGGCGTGCCACTCCACATAAACGCTCCTCGGTTTTACCAATTTTAACAACATACATTTTAACAACATACGCGCCGCAAAACACCGCCAACGGGCGAAAATGTGTAAATAGCTTGTCACCGCGATTCCCTCCATAGAGCAGCAATTTCCAGGAGCCGTGCGTTTGGAGCGCAGATCGAGAGCAGCGGTTCGCAAAATTGCCAAAATTTGTGCCGCCGCCTGCCCGTAGTGAAAAGTAAGATTGCAAATGCCTAAAACTGCGTCGTTCACTTGCCGAAAACATTGAGAAACGGCAGAGCAAACAGTTTTAAATTTGGAGCTTTGTATTTTGTTGTTTGTGAAGCAAAAGAACTGCAATATTCGCCAGTGTGCGGCTGCAAGTGTGTGTGCGTGTGTGTGGGGCTGCGTGCGTGACTGTGTGCGTGATGCCACCCTCCGATTTTCCAATGTTATTTTGAGGGTCGCGTACATTAGTTGTTGTTATTACGCGCATTGATGCACCTGCCACTGAATCCTTGGAATACTAGCTTGCAGGTAGCTTTCTTTGGCTGGTGAGGATGACGGACATAGTGTACCCCACTGGATGTCGGCCGCTGGTCGAGGATTTGGGCACGGATGAGCTGATACGTCGCCTGAAGGTGAGTTATCCCGCTCTTGAAAAACTCCCTTAACTATGGATATATCTCTTGGCCAGACCCTCGCCAATGTACTGCAGACCATGGACCAGGACGACAATCTCTACCAGCAGTACATTCCCTTGGCACTCCACCTACTGGACGACTTCTTTATGCAGCACACTTCCCGCGATGTCCAGCTCTTAATCGCCTGCTGCGTGGCAGATGTGCTGCGCGTTTATGCGCCCGAGGCGCCCTACAAAGAGCAAGATCAAATCAAAACTATATTTAAGTTTTTCATCAAGCAACTGCATGGACTGAAGGATCCCCGTGATCCCTCCTTCAAGCGTTACTTCTATCTGCTGGAGAATCTGGCCTTTGTCAAGTCCTTTAACATGTGCTTCGAGCTGGAGGACTGCCAGGAGATCTTCCAGGAGCTATTTAGCACCATCTTCAAGATTGTCAAGTGAGCTGAGCTTGTCCTGTAGCTTAAATCATCTCTTCTGAAAATAATCAAATGATTGATATCTTTGCAGCGACCAGCACAGCGTCAAGGTTACTAACTTTTTTCTAGACGTGCTGAGTCCGTTAATCACAGAAGCCGATAATCTTTCGGTGGAATTGTTGGACCTCATACTGATCAACATTGTGGAGCCGTACAAATCTAACAACAAGTTTGCCTGCCAACTAACCGAACAACTGCTCACCAAAACAGGCGATGCTCTGGAGTCCACCATCAAAATGGTAATAGTTGGTTTGCCTGTGGTTCCCCAGTTTGCTTAAAACAAATCTCTGATCAATAGTTCTTCAATCGTGCTTTGGTCATGGATAAACCAAACACTAAACTGTCCATTACAAACAAAATCTACGATATCATCTATGAGCTTAACCGCATCAATCCGGACCTGCTGTGCGCAGTGCTGCCCCAACTGGAGAATAAACTGCTGTCCACAGACGATGCTGAAAGACTAAGTGAGCAATTTAGCACCGTTTTGGTTTATTTGAATATTAATAAACACATTTATTACGTTTCCACAGAGGCCACCACTCTTCTGGCCCGCATGTTCTCCGAAAAAGACTCACAGCTGTCGAAGAAGTACCAGAACCTGCTGAAAATCTTCTTCGGACGCTTCTGCGACATCACCGAGCCAGTACGCATCAAGTGCGTCCAGTCGTCCATGCACTTCCTGCTCAACCATCCGATTCTTCAAGCGGACATCACCGAGAAGTTGCGGCTAAGGAACCACGATCTGGACGAGGTTGTTCGCCACGAAGTGGTGATGGCCATTGTGGAGACTGCCAAGCGTGACTTTAGTCTGGTGCTTGAGGCGCCCGAACTCCTGGAGATCGTGCGCGAGCGGACGCTGGACAAGAAGTACAAGATTCGTAGGGACGCGATGAACGGTCTGGCCTACATCTACAAGCGAGCGATCTGCGAACCCAACGACTTGAGTACCGGACTCAAAGTGCGTGTGGACTGGATCAAGAACAAGATACTGCACGGCTACTACAAAGTGGGCTTGGAGGATCGGCTGCTCGTGGAACGCCTGCTCATCACCTGCCTGGTGCCCTACAAACTGGCTCCCGAGGAGCGCATGAAGAAGCTGTACCATCTGCTGGGCGATCTGGATGCGAACGCCACCAAGGCATTCGTGGAGCTGCAGAAGAACCAAATGAAGACCCGCAACACGGTCAGCGATTGGATCAAACTGCACCACTCCAAGGAGTTTACGCCTCGTGTGCTCAGCCAACTGAGCGCCAAACAGGCAAACATAGCCAAGTGCGTTTCGTAGGAGTCGCTGGCTAAGGGAATGGTAACTAATGTCGTGTCTTTGCAGATTGCTGCCGGATCCCCTGAAAGCGTCCGAGTACCTCACCCAGTTTAGCAACAACCTGCGCAAGGATGCCCAGCTACTGCGCTGCATCAACATTGTCCTGAAGCGAGACGTCAGCTGCCGGGAGTGCGCCGACACGATGGGTGTTCTGCTGAAAAAGCTGGGCGCCCACGTCCACTCGAATCTGTACTACAACACCGTCAAGATGCTGATTGAACGCGTGGCCTCGGTGATGGTCGACAAAGAATCCGTTGGCGTGCTTATTGGGTAAGCCGCCTGCAAGTGCTACCCTAATCTCTGGCTAAGTCCTCTTATCTTCCTGTTCAGACTCATTGAGCAGTGCATTGAGGGAGGTCCCATGTGCGAGGAGATTGGCATCTCGCCACAGGAAGCGGGCGAGCGCGGACTCAAGCTGTTGAGCGTGAGTTTTTTGATAAGAAAATGAAAGATAAGGAAATCCATATGCTTAAGTTGGCCCCTTACTTGCAGATGCTTTCCTACGTCTTCTCGGCTCACTTCTTCACCGACACTTCGCTGCGTCATTTGATTTCCCTGCTGAGCTACGAGCAAGACTATGTTGCTCCGCTGGTCCTGAAGACTCTCACTCATCTGGGACGCTATCAGCCACTTATCGACGACACCACTCCAGCCATTCTCGAAGAGTTGGCTCCGGTTTGCAAGGATTTTGCGCTGATCGGCACGCCAAAGCAGGCGAAGCACGCGGTGCGTTGTATTTTTGTGAACAGTCAATCGTCCGCAGCCACTGATGGAGCAGCGGGTGGAGCCGGGAGCGCTTCCACCACTACCCAGACTGTGCATCCTATTTTCAACGAGATCATCGAGACACTGCGCCTGAAACTGACGCCAAACTGCGAGTATCAGCGTACGAAGATCGTAACCCTGGGTCACATTGCGTACAACATGCCGCAGGCCTTTCTCACGCCCATTAAGAACATGATTGCGCGTCGGATTGTCAAGGAGCTGCTCATCCAGGAGGTGCCGGCGCAGCGGGACTACGATCTGCCCGAGGAGAGCGACTGGTGTGCCCAAGAGGATCTTCCGCCCGACACGCTGTGCAAGCTGGACGCCCTGAAGGCCATGGCCCGCTGGTTACTGGGCCTGCGCACCGATGAGCACGCCGCTCAGAAGACATTCCGCATGCTGGCCGCGTTCGTCAACCAGCGGGGCGATCTCCTCGGCCAGAACCGCCTTTGCGGTGCCGAGAAGTCCTGGCTGCGTCTGGGGGCTGCCTGCGCCATGCTCAAGGTCTGCGAGCAGAAGGGCGTGGGCGATCAGTACAGTGCCGAGCAGTATTTGCAGCTCTCCCAGCTGATGGTATGTAGAAACACTTTACATTTGCTTAACGATAAATGCCTACGTGAAATGGGAATTCCCTTAGGTGGATCCGGTTCCCGAGGTTCGGGAAATCTTTGCTCGCAAACTGCACAAGGGATTGGGCAGAAGTCTGCCGAGGAATTGCCTGCCCCTGGACTTTATGGGCTTGTATGTGCTGGCTGGTCTGGAGACTGACAGAAAGTGAGTTTTCTAGTTTGCCAGCGAAGACCCTTGAATAAGTAACGATAAACTATTTCAACAGATTGCAAGACCTTGTCCGTCACTATACGGAAACGGATGTAAACAAGCGTCGGGAATATCTCAAGACTGTGGCCATGACATGTAAGCCATAGCCCACTTATTTTATTTTCTATCCTAACAAACCTACAATGGTATTGCAGCTCCCGACAGCTCAACGGAGTCACAATCACTGCACATTTTACCTGACTATATGCTGGCCTTCGCCATCCCCGTGCTGGTCCACGATCCCCGCTTCACGAATCACGAGGACTACGTCCAGCTGCGCAAAATGGAGAAGTGCCTGCGCTTCGTGCTGGAGCCCCTCATGGCCAAACGGGAATCATTTGTCCACAGCTTCTACAAGCAGTTGCTGCAGCTGATAAAGCTCCGCGAGTTCAGTCAGGGCTCGGACAAGCGCGACAACTATGTATGCCTCTTAATCGTTAGCCTGTTTGGCCCCCTCTAAACGTGTATATATATATATGTATTTTTTCGGTTATCAGAAAATGTGGGCGCTCTGCGATCTCGCCATGTACATTATCGACTCAAAATTCAGCCCATTTGATGCCAACACGAGCACATTCTCCATGCCGCTGGCCCTGCCAGAAATGTATTATAAGCAGCCGGCCGTTGCGAATTTCCAAAACAATGAGATCTATATACCGCTGGACGTGTATACGTTGGGAGTCAAGTCCACGAGTAAACCCGCCACGACGGCCATGACAACGTCGCGAGCGGCAGCAGCTTCAAAGAGACCGGCGGAACCATCGATCCTAGATGATGACAATCCGCAGGTAAGTGATAGATTGAACAAAAATGTTAATAACTGGAAGCTGATTGGTATTAAATCGATTTCAGGAAAACAACCTGTTCGACAATATACGAGCGGCTGACACCACAGAGCCAATGGCCAAAAGAACGCGTGCGGGAGCCTCTTCAGCCAAATCATAAGGGCTGTAGGAGCAGCATGAAGCTGGATCGATCGCATACTTGTTAGTTTAGTTACGGTTAGTCTAGGCGCCTAAGTTAACTAAATATTTAAGACGTAGGGGAACTACAATAGCTGTTAAACCGACACTACCTAATACCTACACCACGCAGATCATACTTAAACCCCCAAAATTCGGATTGTTCAATTTTGCATCCCGGTTGTACCATATTCAATTTGTGAGATAGACCAAAAACGCAAAGCTCAGATAATGTGTCGTATAATCTGTTAAACACTTCAATGTAAAAGTAATTATTTATCAGTTTTTAGATGTTTTAACCTGTTTTTTTTTTAAGGTGTCCTATTCTTTTATTTTTTTAACCTTTAGTTGTAGGCCTCAATGAATATCGAATAATTTAAGGAAAGTATATCGCGCATTAGTTGAAGTACGGAGTGAAGAAATGAAAACGTAAACAGAGCCTTATTAAGAAATTAAAATAAACTTTTCTATGATCGCAGTTAACTTTTAGTTAATATAAAAATACATCATTTATAACACATAAACATACCGCGTTAGAATCGACAGGAATGCATTGAAAATGCATTGAAAAAGAAAACTGATAACGTTGTACGGATTGGATCGAAAACAAAACAAAGATAAAGATAAAATGAATACACACACATTTAACATTAAAAAATGTAAATTTAACTATTATTACTGTTTTTCAATTACAAATAAACATATGATTATTATTTAAATGTTTCAAATTAATTATAAATTTCTATTTCTGGGGAAAAATAAAAATTAAAACCTTTTAAAAGTTATATATTTGTAAATAATGCTTGCAATTATTATTTCTTTAATTGTGTTTTATATTGCTGTTTGATATATGGCGATGAATTCATGTTTCTAGTTAAAACATAGTCTGTATAATAAAATGTAAAAAATGCTTTAAGGAAAATTGGGAAATAAATTAAACAAAACTGATTTTTTCTTAAAAATAGTGATTTGGTTGAATAACAAAAACCTGACCATATGATAAGGTAAGGGCTAAAGAATATTTTAACACATCGTTCTCTAACGAACTATCGATAAGCAACTTCCGATAGTTCATGGTGCATCGAATTTATCTTTTCCCACCACTATTTCCAATTGCATTTTCGGCGTTGTTTTTCTTGTGGGGGTGTGACGTATTATGTTGTTGTTTTTGTAGTTTTGTAAAGTAAATCAACAATTGTTTTGAATAATACAAAGTGAATCGTGCTGCCGGGGGGCCATTTAAACAAAGAAGTCCATTTCAAAACAAAACTTTGGCCGGCAAAACAACAAAATGCAGGTGGAAGCAAACGCTAATGGCTGTGACGTCACGGTTCGAGAGCAGCAGAAAAGCAACAAAACCAATGGGATTTTCTCGACGGCAGTCAGAAGCTCAAAAACCGGAGAACAGAACGCACGGATATATACCTCCACGCCGAAGACCTCCCATCATCCAAAACTTCAGCAGTACGTGGGCGTGCCGAAACCCACGGAAAAGGGGCGAGTGGGTGTGGCAACCGCCTTCGATCCGCTGATCAAAAAAGTGGCTCTTCTCTTTGGCATTCTCATCATTGGCTACAAAAGCGTCATTTTAACCAGTAAGTGGGTTAAGTTGTGGGTCCTATTGGGTTTCTATTTATTTATATACCCCCTGTAATACGCGGGGGTGGGTAATTCAAGGTTGCAATTGTCGGCGATGACGACGTCTTCGCTCGTTTTGTTTATATTTGCTTTTCGTTTATAAATAGTTGAAGTTCGTGTGATCTCATAGCTGTTGGTGTTTATTCTCTGTTCTCCCTGCAATAACCACCCAAATAGCGAATAAGTCTATATAGAGAACGTTAGATTGTTTGTTGCGCATTTAGCCTTCTCATTTGCATACGTTTTATATCTGAAAAATAGAGGCTAAAGAGTGATTAGTTGCTTCATCTTTTGAGCAGAGAGTGATTAGTTAGTTAATTGTTTGCCCTACGGTGATTAAGTATTCCTCTTTGTTGGGCTTAACGGTATTTATCAATAGGGTTTTCGTCACGCGACACATACATAAATACATACAAGTAAGGCGGTACCGCTAGAAAGACCAGGAAAATAACGAATTTTAAAATTCTGACGATTCAGCAATCTAGCCGTGAATTTGCTGCAGGTTATGCATTAGGGTGGCTCAAAAAAAAAACAATTATTCATTTAATAACAAAGTTGGTAATCAACATTTATTTCCAAAACTTTAGAAGGTCAAACATTAAGATTGAACTTTCTCAGGAATAAAAGTTTATACGAGCATTTTTCATTAATTAACTTTTTTTAAGTTTTTATAGTAATTTTTCTAATGTTAATTTTGTTTCAACTTCCAAATATTTGACATTTTTTTTAAATAATTAATTTGTAACTCGTTTTATAAAATTTTCTTTTACGGAGTAGCAAAATTGGTTTAGTTTACGAGCTTATGCACTTCTGTATGTGTCTTTTTTGACACATTCCTAATTCATCGGACAAAATGCTTAGATCTACTCATAGATAACATTTCTAGTTAGTAAATTCGACCCACCCTATTTATAAACCTTATTTTTTTTGACGTGTTTATCGGGCCAAGACTGATAACACGGAAATCAATAAAACGACCCTCAAACTGAGATACTAACGAGTTCTCTGTGCTCTCTTTGCAGTGCCATACATCAGTGGCGACTCCATCCAGGTGCTGAGCCACCAGTTGCAGAGTCGGTGGAATGAGGCCTTGGTGTGGGCCACCAGTCACCAGCTGGGCTCCCGGCTGAGCCCCCTACTGTGTGGCCTCTTGGTGGCCGCATTCGCTTACGGAATTGTGTACTTGGACAGCGCGGTGCCCGGCGTCAATCCGCCCTCGCCCTTCTCGCCGCGTTCCAAGAAGCGGTAAGCTCCCGGGGTCTGACCTTTTATTATTTAATACTCATATTGTCTTTTCTCAATTTGCAGTTTCCGTGAGGAGAAGACCGCCTCGCTGCACTTGGGCTATTTGTGTGCCCTCTTCTGTGGATTTCTGGTCACGATCTTCATGTACTTTGATTTGTACTCGTAAAAACTATTCCTTCCATTTAGACAAATAAGCTCACCAGTATTAGAATTCAGTCGCCTACTTTGGAATTTGTATTTATTGTAGTCCTCGTAACTGTGCAATGCTCCTGAAGAGAATCGTGAAGGGGTATTTTGAAGCTAACTTAGTTCCTAGGTACATTAACTTTAAGTTACTTACTTACACTCTATAAATTATTCAAGTTATCAAAACTATAAAAGTACAAAACGGAACATTTCGCTGTAGATTTTAGGCCAGACCAGAAGAGTTAACATATTTATATATATCGTCTGGCCTAAGAATCACGAGAAAACTGTATATGGAAATACCTTACTAAAATATAAATTACTTATGCACATTGTTTTGCATCAGAATATACGTTGTCACATTTTCTATGCGCATAAATTGTTTCTGCCAGTCGATATCGCTTACCTGGGCGATCTTGAACGTTTGCAAGCGGTTGTCCCCAATAAATTGGCCCACGAGATGAACAAAGCAGCCTGTTAATGGGTCACAGATGAATTTAAGTATTCGATCAACCAATCTTTTTACCTTACCTGGGTTCCATGATTTTAAATCACTTTCAAAGTCATGGTATATGCCCTGCAGAATGGGTCCCGAATTTTCGTTTCGCACAAGCAGAGTGTGCTCTCCTCGTTTTCCTTCAATAATGCGCAGAAGTTTACCTGGAATTTTATAAATTGTAATCGAAATTCTTAAATTTAAAAATCGTAGCTAAATAATTTTATAATAAGAAGTCTAATAGCTTAAATTATATGGTCTGATTTTAAGTATTAAATATTTTAAACATATCCTAAAAACGAAAGGTGAAGCTTGTTTTTTAAATCTTTGTAAATAGTGCTGTTGAAAAAAAGCTATAGATTAACATATTCAAGCCTACCGTAAACATTCCAAATGGCGTTAATATCGGGATAGGTTTTATGGGTTTTAAGACAAAAATCGACCCGACCAACCAAGCTAATTAAATTTCGTCCTGGCTTGGACATCGGACAACTTGGCAACCCTTTGGGTTCTTCCTTTTTGACGTTGAGCTCGAAACTGGACTTTTGCAGGGTTTTTGGAGTTGGAACGTAGACAAATTCCTGCTTTGGCCGCATTTTAGGCATTTCCTCGACAAAGCCCTCGTACTTCAATTTATTGTCCTTCTGGCAGACACTTAATTTGGTTTGTCGCAATTGGCTGTTATTTTTGCGAACAAGTTGAGCGGCCGTTGGAAAGCTAAGATTCAATTGGGAGGCATTGTTGGCCAGTTGATTCTTGAATTTGGCCTGGCTGTTGACCAGAGGGGTTCGAGGCTTGCCTTGAGTGGGAAATACATTTTTTAATTATTTATAAGTATTTTATTTCTTTATATTACCTTTGGCGAACATTTTGGCGCTAACGGTTCTGTTCCAATCAAAGTGACCATTGCCACTCCTTTTAAATAATACCATTAAATACCAACTACTAAATATACTAACCAAATGCAGTGTTGGTCAATGCTGGCTGGCTTTTGCTTCCTTTCGCACACTGTCGCCTGCTGTCCACGCGAGAGTTTTATATTTTTATTTTTACATGCCGATTTGTTGATTTTTTGGGCTTTTAGTGGACCGCGTTTAACTGCCAGCCAGCCATGAGCACAATTTTGGAGAAAATCTCGGCCATCGAGTCGGAGGTGAGTGGGTTCATAGAGCACCAGTCGATTGTATTGAAACTAACCTGTCTTGCATTCACCTTCCCCCGCGGATTCCCCCCCTGGATTCCCCCTGGATTCTTCTTAATTCTCCGGGTTTTTTCTTGGATAAAATCGGATTTCTAGATGGCCCGCACCCAGAAGAACAAGGCCACCTCGGCGCATTTGGGTTTACTGAAGGCGAAGCTGGCCAAGCTGCGACGCGAGCTGATTTCCCCGAAAGGAGGCGGCGGCGGAACCGGCGAAGGTGGGTTCTCTACCCTAATTGCCATCAAATCACTAACAAATCAATTATTCCAGCTGGTTTCGAGGTGGCCAAGACCGGAGATGCCCGAGTGGGTTTCGTGGGCTTTCCCTCCGTGGGTAAATCCACGTTACTCTCCAACTTGGCAGGCGTTTACTCCGAGGTGGCGGCCTATGAGTTCACAACGTTGACCACTGTGCCGGGATGCATCAAGTACAAGGGCGCCAAGATCCAGCTCCTCGATCTGCCCGGAATCATTGAGGGCGCCAAGGATGGCAAGGGTCGTGGTCGTCAGGTGATAGCCGTGGCGCGCACCTGTAACCTCATCTTCATGGTTCTGGATTGCCTGAAACCGCTGGGTCACAAAAAGCTACTCGAGCACGAGTTGGAGGGCTTTGGCATCCGGCTGAACAAGAAGCCACCAAATATCTACTACAAGCGGAAGGACAAGGGCGGCATTAATCTGAACAGCATGGTTGCCCAATCCGAATTGGATTTGGATCTGGTGAAGACCATTCTGTCCGAGTACAAGATACACAATGCGGATATAACGCTGCGATACGATGCCACCAGCGACGATCTGATCGACGTGATCGAGGGCAACCGCATCTACATACCCTGCATCTATCTGCTGAACAAGATCGATCAGATCTCCATCGAGGAGCTGGACGTCATCTACAAAATCCCGCACTGCGTGCCCATTTCGGCGCACCACCACTGGAACTTTGACGATCTGCTGGAGCTGATGTGGGAGTACCTGCGACTGCAGCGCATCTACACCAAGCCCAAGGGCCAGCTGCCCGACTACAATTCACCCGTGGTGCTGCACAATGAGCGCACCAGCATCGAGGACTTTTGCAACAAGCTGCATCGCTCCATCGCCAAGGAGTTTAAATAGTGAGTGCGGTTTGCTATCCACTTAACACGATTTTTCACATTCTTATCACCCTTTTAGTGCGCTGGTTTGGGGCTCATCCGTGAAGCATCAGCCGCAGAAAGTGGGCATTGAACACGTTCTCAACGACGAGGATGTTGTCCAGATTGTGAAAAAGGTCTAGACTCTGTGCAACGATTACAATTTGATAATTTGATGGCATTTTTATTGGAAAATAAAAACGAATGTGCTTTAAATCTGTTCTCTTCTGTATGATTTTAGTTAAAGAAATTATTTAAGCTTAAGGCTTTCAGTTTTGCTATAAAATATTTTAAACACAATATTTTTTAGACGAAAAAAATTAACCAATTCCTTTTAGCAGTTACACCCAGTAAGAGTTTGACTTATTTTGGGAGAACCAATTAACTTATTGATAATAATAGGATATTTTAAAAACTGCAGGTTTTAAAGATACACATTTTAAATATTCCCGCCATTAAGTTCACAAAAAACAGCTAGATTTGGCGGGAATTTAAAGCTACTCTGTTAGCACTGTCAGTCCTGAATTCGCTTACTAACACTGAACTAAAGTGCACGCTGTTTTGTTTGGATTTGGATTCGCTTTAAGTAAATACTAAATAATAGGAATGGTGGAGCTGAAGATGGGCGATCACAATGTGGAGGCCACCGCCTGGGAGCCCGGCGACAGCAAGGACTGGTCGATGCCCATCAAGCCGCTGGCGGAGAAGTGGAAGCTGGTGCCGGCATTCCTGCAGGTAAAGGGTTTGGTGAAGCAGCACATCGACTCCTTCAACCACTTCATCAACGTGGATATCAAGAAGATCGTGAAGGCCAACGAGCTGGTCACGAGTGGAGCGGATCCGCTGTTCTACCTGAAGTACCTGGACGTGCGGGTGGGCAAGCCGGACATCGACGAGGGTTTCAACATCACCAAGGCGACCACGCCGCACGAATGCCGCCTGCGGGACACCACGTACTCAGCCCCCATCACCGTGGACATCGAGTACACGCGGGGCACGCAGCGCATCAAGCGGAACAACCTGCTCATCGGCCGGATGCCCCTCATGTTGCGCTGCTCCAATTGCGCCCTCACCGGGAAATCCGAGTTTGAGCTATCCAAACTGAACGAGTGTCCCCTAGATCCGGGTGGCTACTTTGTGGTCCGCGGCCAGGAGAAGGTCATCCTGATCCAGGAGCAGCTGTCATGGAACAAGATGCTCACCGAGGACTTCAACGGGGTGGTGCAGTGCCAGGTCACCTCCTCCACGCACGAAAAGAAGTCTCGCACTCTGGTGCTGAGCAAGCATGGAAAGTACTACCTGAAGCACAACTCCATGACGGACGACATACCCATTGTGGTGATCTTCAAGGCCCTGGGCGTGGTCTCCGACCAGGAAATCCAGTCGCTTATTGGCATAGACAGCAAGTCGCAGAATAGGTTTGGTGCCTCCCTGCTGGATGCCTTCAATCTCAAGGTCTTTACGCAGCAAAGAGCTTTGGAGTACATGGGTAAGTTTCTCTGCCCCACACCATGAAATCCTCTTCCTAACACCTCCTTCATTTAGGCTCCAAGCTGGTGGTCAAGCGCTTCCAAAGTGCCACCACAAAAACGCCCTCGGAAGAGGCGCGCGAGCTGCTGCTGACCACCATTCTGGCTCATGTGCCTGTGGAGAACTTCAACTTCCAGATGAAGGCCATCTATGTGTCCATGATGGTGCGTCGCGTCATGGCCGCCGAGCTGGACAAAACCCTTTTCGACGATCGCGATTACTATGGCAACAAACGTTTGGAGCTGGCTGGTTCCTTGCTCTCCATGATGTTCGAGGATCTGTTCAAGCGCATGAACTGGGAGCTGAAGACCATTGCCGACAAGAATATACCCAAGGTGAAGGCGGCCCAGTTTGATGTGGTGAAGCACATGAGGGCGGCGCAAATCACTGCGGGACTGGAGTCCGCCATAAGTTCCGGAAACTGGACCATCAAGCGATTTAAGATGGAAAGAGCTGGTGTGACGCAGGTGCTGTCCCGCCTGAGTTATATATCCGCCCTGGGCATGATGACCCGTGTGAACTCGCAGTTTGAGAAGACGCGCAAGGTGTCCGGTCCGCGTTCACTGCAGCCCAGTCAGTGGGGCATGCTGTGTCCCTCGGACACGCCCGAAGGCGAGGCTTGTGGTCTGGTGAAGAATCTGGCCCTAATGACGCACATCACCACCGAGGTGGAGGAGCGACCTGTGATGATTGTGGCCTTTAATGCTGGCGTGGAGGATATACGGGAAGTGAGCGGCAATCCCATCAACAATCCGAATGTCTTTCTGGTCTTCATCAATGGTAATGTCCTGGGACTGACCCTGAATCACAAGCACCTGGTGCGGAACCTTCGCTACATGCGCCGAAAGGGTCGCATGGGCAGCTACGTGTCCGTGCACACATCCTACACCCAGCGATGCATCTACATACACACGGATGGCGGTCGTTTGTGTCGCCCGTATGTAATCGTGGAGAACCGTCGTCCGCTGGTGAAGCAACATCACCTGGACGAACTCAACAGGGGCATTCGCAAGTTTGACGACTTCCTCTTGGACGGACTAATCGAGTATCTGGATGTGAACGAGGAGAACGATTCGTTTATCGCCTGGAACGAAGAGCAAATCGAGGATCGCACTACGCACCTGGAAATCGAACCCTTCACTTTGCTGGGAGTCTGCGCGGGTTTGGTGCCCTATCCGCATCACAACCAGAGTCCCAGGAACACCTACCAGTGTGCTATGGGCAAACAGGCGATGGGAATGATTGGCTACAACCAGAAGAACCGCATCGATTCGCTGATGTACAATCTGGTGTATCCGCACGCTCCTATGGTTAAATCAAAGACCATTGAGCTGACCAACTTTGACAAGTTGCCGGCGGGTCAGAACGCCACGGTGGCCGTGATGAGTTACTCAGGATACGACATTGAAGATGCGCTGATCCTGAACAAGGCATCAATAGATCGTGGCTATGGACGCTGCCTGGTCTACAAGAACTCCAAGTGCACGGTGAAGCGCTATGCCAATCAGACCTTCGACAGGATCATGGGTCCGGTGAAGGATGCCCTCACCAACAAGGTGATCTTCAAGCACGACGTCCTGGACACCGATGGCATTGTGGCTCCTGGCGAGCAGGTCCAGAACAAGCAGATCATGATCAACAAGGAGATGCCGGCGGTGACTTCGATGAATCCGCTGCAGGGTCAATCTCCGCAGGTTCCCTACACCGCTGTGCCGATTAGCTACAAAGGACCAGAGCCAAGCTACATTGAGCGCGTGATGGTATCCGCCAATGCCGAGGAAGACTTCCTAATCAAGATCCTGCTGCGCCAGACGCGTATTCCCGAGATCGGGGACAAGTTCAGCTCGCGGCATGGCCAAAAAGGTGTGACCGGTTTGATTGTTGAGCAGGAGGACATGCCGTTCAATGACTATGGCATCTGCCCGGATATGATTATGAACCCCCATGGTTTCCCCTCCCGCATGACGGTGGGCAAAACCCTGGAGCTGCTCGGCGGCAAGGCTGGTCTGTTGGAGGGCAAGTTCCACTATGGCACAGCCTTTGGGGGCTCCAAGGTGGAGGACATCCAGGCGGAGCTGGAACGGCATGGCTTCAACTACGTGGGCAAGGACTTCTTCTACTCGGGCATCACTGGATCGCCGTTGGAGGCGTACATCTACTCGGGACCCGTGTACTACCAGAAGCTGAAGCACATGGTGCAGGACAAGATGCACGCCCGTGCCCGCGGACCCAAGGCGGTGCTCACCCGTCAGCCAACGCAGGGCAGGAGTCGCGAGGGTGGATTGCGTCTGGGCGAGATGGAGCGGGACTGCCTCATCTCCTACGGCGCCAGCATGCTGATCATGGAGCGTCTGATGATCTCCTCGGATGCCTTTGAAGTGGATGTCTGCCGGACCTGCGGCAGGCTGGCCTACTGCTCCTGGTGCCATTTCTGCCAGTCGTCGGCCCATGTCTCCAAGATATCCATGCCGTATGCCTGCAAGTTGCTCTTCCAGGAGCTGACCAGCATGAATGTGGTGCCCAAGATGATTTTGGAGAACTATTAGTGAGATTGAATTGCCTGAAACCGAATAAAATGTTTGTTATTGTGTAAGTTCTTTGAAAGTTTGTTACCATTCAACTTGGTTCCATCCACAATTTGCTGAAATATTTCTGTTCATCGCATTTAAGTACGATTTTTACATATTTATATGGCTACCGCGACCAAGTTGCAAATGTCAAAGTTAAGAGGTTCAAACGAAGTCAGCGGAAGAAAATCCCTATTAAATTTTAACGAGGTCCTGTTAACGAGGCAGCTTTTATTTTGCAGAGTTCTGTGAGCTTACAGGACTTCTAAGCTGTAACAAAAAAGGACTAAGCTGTATTTTATCGCGCCTGTTATCCCTTTTTAAAGGCGCGCAGGATAATTAGTTGTGTCTGTTGTTGTTTGGCATCAGCTTTGGGCCTAATTTACAAAGTCTGTGCCGGCAAAAAACGATTTATAAGCACAAGCAGGCTGTTGAGCCTGGCATTCGTTTATTGAATTTAACCCTTGCTAACTCTTCTGTTTTATTTTATTTAATTAATTATTAAAGAGAGAGGAAATATGTGACAAATATAACTAGGCAATGGCTATATTTAATCCTATCCAAAAGCCTGATTAAAACCCATTCATTACCAAGTAACACAATTTAAACGACATATTGTGGAACTGCTCCTTGGCGACACATGAGGTTAAGGCGGGCAAACAATATTGCCAGGCGTTGATTTATTGGCTTCCCTCGGAATATTGCCTAGTGAATGATGCCCTGCCCCGTGAGGCAATTACCTGTCCACCTGGCTTCGAGTGAAGCCTCAACCCAGATTCCGGCCGCTGTGTCAACGTCTCCGTGGTCAATGCACTGCGTTGCATGCACGTGACCTGCGAACTGTTGGCCACACAGCCACCCACCCACACGAGCCAATGTCCTTGTGCGTCCTTTCGAGTGACCTGTGCTTAAAATAGCCCCTCCCGTTCCTCCCCCCGCTGCTCCTTTTGTTGGATCCGTATTCACTGTATGCAGTGCAATGACAGCAAACGGGGCAAACTGCCAGCAGCAGAAGGAGCATCTGAGGAACCGATGGCGCGCACAAGGATAACAATTTAAGGTTGCCCCCATCTCCTCCGATCCCCCATGCTTATAAACCCACCTCCTTTACGGACTATTCAGTTCCGTTCTACATAAAGAAAAGTATGGAAAATTTGCATTTTATTCATATTAAATGTTAAAATTCTGTGACAAAAAATAAAGAGGTAAATAATAATATGTAGAAGATAGTCAGATAATCTGGAGGAACTGACTAATCGAAAGGGGTTTTGTAATGATAACAAAGTATATTCAATTGGTGATTCATGTTTTAGCTTAAACTTAGAAAGGTTAAAAACAAAAATATAATTAAAAAATATATTTATTTGTAATAACATGTTTTGGTTACTTCTTAGTATTTCAATAATGTTTATGATATACTCCTAGTTTTTTCCCGTGCATCAACTCAGCTCAACTCAATATGGGGCCACCTTCCGGCTTCGGCTCGCCTTTCATGTATTTTGGCCATTTGTCAAAAGTTTGCTTTTTGCTCTTCTTTATCTGGACGGTTCGTTGATGTGTGCATAGCAATAGATGTATATAGATTTAAATGGGTGTTGGCCACTTGAGCAGAAAGTTAAGCGTTGTCTAACTGCTCTTTTGGGCGGCTTCCAAAAGGGGAAAGGACCCTCACTGGATTGACAACACCGGATATCGTTGTGCTGATAAGACTCCCCCCGGATCCAATGGACCAAATGAAATCCTATGCACCTTCCGATTGAAATGGAGATTAGTGCGAGGCTTAGACCTGCACATTTTCCCATTAAAGGCCAGTAAACTTTGCAGCCAGAATTATTCTAGTAAACTCATTTGTATTTTCTAGAGCCTTGGCTACACGAAAATGTTAACAACATAGTCAGCAGAGAGGAATCTCTTTAAAGTGCTTATAACGCTCTTTTGTAAGCTACCCAATTTTATTTTGAATTTTCTAACTGTCCTTGTAAAGAATAAGTCATTTTCACAGCATAAAAAGAAATTATAATTAAATTATTTATTTTTATTTATTTATTTATATTTATTTAACTCAAAAAAAATTCGTTGAAAATAATTTTGTTTAATATAACCTTTAATATAACCTTTACCTGATTAAAACAATAGATTTACCATTAAAGGTTTTCAAGTATAAATATTAAGAAAGTATTTTAGGCTTCTACTTTTATAAAATACAATAGTAGAAACCTTTTATGTTTACTTATAGATATTTTAGCATTTGTATATGTTGTATTTGCAAATACTTTACTTCCAGTATCATTGCTTAAAAACATTTATAAGAACATAATCCATGAATCTTAATTCATTTAAGCGAATATTTAACCCATAAATAGATTTTGAATATTATCTGATAAGAGAACGTTTTACATTCAACTGTTAGGATAACAGTTGGCTTACAGTAGTGGGGCATGCAATTGGGTAGCATTGGCATTGGGGAGCTTATAAAAGCAAGTGCTCGATGGCAGCACGCTCATTTTAAAACCGGCGCTCTTCGAAAGCTCCACTGCGGAGCCGAGAAAATATATTTAATTCCCATTTCAAGTGCAGGAATTTCAAGTTTGTTTGTTTAAATTCAAAGTGCAAGTGAGACATTTCTAACAAAACACATTCAAAAACGAAGAAAATTACCAAAAACAATGAAATGTTGAGCAATTAAGGCTGGATTCTAAGTGCATAGCTAGAGTGAATTAATAATTTAGTTGAAACAAACAAAGCCATGGAGAGTGCAGCGAATTCAGGCGACTCCAAAAAGCCTTTCAAAGTGAGTTTATGTTCTGTGTAATTAAAAAATCCTAAAGGCCAACATGCAAACAAAGAGGTTTTAAGCATGCATTATTTTCCTGCCATGCCCTTTTTGGGCGTTGTTGTTTTAGCTTTTGTTGTTGCTGGCCGCGTGCTGCGTTCGTTTTTTTTTTTGTTCTTTATGGAAACTGGGTTGAACTTCAAGTTGCTCTGAGTGTAAGCAAAGAGAAATTGTCGAAGAGCGCCAAAAGCTCAGAATAAAGAGAACAGCGAAAGCTCAGTTAAAGACCATTACTGCATACAATTTTACTTTGCAAAATCACTTACTTTCTTTGCATTTACTTTATGTTGTCCTTTTTCTTTGTATTTTTCTGTCTGCTTTTATTTCTATTTGTCTGGCTTTGTTTTTTGATTTTTCATTCGAGTATTGGGAATTGTTTGCTTTTGGCATTTGTTTTACGTGTCTGCTGGGCCTTTGTTCCCCAACTAATTTGTTTATCTGCCGCTTAAACAGCACAAAGCTGTTTAAAGGACTTACAGGATTTTAAAAATACGCTTTAGTTTGCTAGGAACCACAAAAAGTAAAAACATGATGCAGTTGACAACTCAAGACCGAAAAACCACAAACCTATTTAAATTGTCTCTGAAACACGGAAAACCCATTTCTCGGAAACACATTGCTCCACTTAGCTTTGAAAATCATATGGAATTTTCATTATAATGCCTCTGCTTATTAAAATAATTAATTCAAAAACCACCAAACACAAATCGGCTTAAAAGCTGTCAAATGCCTCGACAGCCATGAAAATGCCATTAAAAAAGGAAAACTTTTCATCCCGACATGTCGCTGTAATTAGCCAAAAGCCACGCCCACAACCAAGCTCACGCCCACGTCCACGGCAAGCGTTTTGTTAATAATTTATTAAACAATTTACATAATGCCAGGGCATAGTTGAAAAGCAATTTAAAGTTGTCGCCTAATTTCCCCAGCGACTCGAAAATCAGCGGCCTACGCCCATCAAAAATTTAAGAGTCCTGCGACTTGTGGATCCTGCTCGGTCTAAGATGCAGATGAATAGAGTCCCTGGCACGTATTCTTCGCAGCCTTCGGCTGATTTTGAATGGTGAGTGCTGTCCAGGACCCTGGGGTCCTCATGGCTAAGCAGCTTGAGTGAGCCGTGATTTAAAAGCCATCATTTCGCAGCTGCTTTTCAAATCGTTTTAAACCGGTTTGTCATCCAGTCGGTCGTCCATAAAACAAAATATTAGTAAAAACAGGCACCTATAACAGATTTTACAGGTTAAATTTTTGTTTTTATGTAAAGAAGACAATAATTTTTAAGGAGGAGATATATTAGCTACAAGGGCTAGACATTTTAAAGGACATTTTAACATTCCTAATAAATTACTATTTTTATTATAGTACTTTTTTAAATCGTGTTTTTGTGTTTAGCACAAATTAGTTTCTATTAAAGATTTTTGCGACATGCTAAGAAACACATCTGTTTACGACATTGATAGGGCTAATCAACTGCCAACCGTTTTTATTTGATAGAGGTATAATTGTGGGTAACAAAATAAACTGCTAATTGAATTGCAACCCGCCAACAAAAACGACAGCGCTTCCTGGGAAAATCTACTAATGCGAACAACTAAAACTTCTGACAAGTTTCCGAACAAAAACTATGCTTTTGTTTTTGATGCTACCGCGTCTCCCACTTGTCTAATGCTTCAGTAGTTCGCCAAAGTTTTCATAGTTGCAAAGTTTTTCCGCTTCACCCCCCGTTCCACTAGAATATGATATGATTAATATTTGGCGCTGGCCAAGCACAAAAGTTGTCTGGCTTTAAGCATTCATAAGATAATTTAATGACGACCTCTGGGTTGTCTGGAGAGAATGGTAAGAAAAAGTAAATTTCATGTTCGAAATGCAAACTAGAGTGCAATTTCATTTAGTCACGGCGCTTTAAATTATTTATGGAGGACCTCAAGGAGTTGCACATTGCCAGGCGGCGTTTCGGGGCTATAAATTCCAGGAGCAGTGCATTCGTGCCGGTGACTCCTTTAGCATCCATCTCATGGCTCCTAGATGGCTATCTGCCCCTTTTGGCCAGGTCTAATTTATGTTTCGTTTAACCTTAGTGCTGAGGCATCATTTAACACCGCATGCAAGTTTAATAGACCCTGGCAAAGCCTTCGTCCTTGCACACAGAACACAGCACTCACTTATGCCATTCGCGCAAGACCAACAAGCGAAAAATGCTGACAGGCATAGCTTGTCACATAACAAAAAAAATAGGAAAGTAAAAAGTAGAAAGTAAAGGGAATCGGGGGGAACATACGACAAATATTTGCGCCGCAACAGGACGAGTGCATGTCAAATTGCGTTCGAGCAGGAGATACAATAATGCAAATAGATCTCGCAATTCCCATTTGAAATTTTCACAATGTTGAATTGTGGGTTCTGCTTGAAGGCGACATCTCTCCCGAGGATAAATAAACCAGTCCATAAATCTCAATTAGAGCAAATGGACATTTGACAGCAGGATATGACGTTGGCGCAAATTTTCCGCTCATTTATTCATTGTGTTTTTTCGGGGAATGAAAAACAATCTGGCTCGATTTATTTATTTATTTATTTATTTAGCAAATTGTTTTGTTTTCCTTTTCTTTTTTGTATAATAGAATTTTTAAAGACTGATTAATATTAATTAAAAAACCATAACAATGAAAATGTACTATTGAAAGCTAAAAAAGTATAAGCAATGAAGTGCAATGGAAAGGGTTTTGAGTTTCGTACGTTTCTTTTCGTCATTCAGATCACGTTACTTGTCCAAAAAAAAAGGGTTCATCCCAAAAAAAAAATTTGCAAGTCTTACCATTTCCATTTCAGCATTTTTCTGTTTTTATTTTGGGTGCCGACGATGTGAATATTTTATTAGAGACACAGTTGCTTCGCCTCTGACATTAGTTTATTATTCATTTGATAAGCGGGGCCATGTGTAACAGTTACTGCTGTTACTGTTTCCGTAGTTGTAAACGTGTAATGGTTTATTATTCCCATTCTTCGCCACGATACTCGTTTTTACGGCCAGGTCAAGGACGTAACACGCAACATCAAGAAGGCTGTCTGCGCCTCCAGTCTGGAGGAGATTCGCAGCAAGGTGGCGGAGAAGTTCGAGAAGTGCGACCACCTGCCCACCATCCACCTGGACTCCGATGGCACGGAGATCGACGACGAGGAGTACTTCCGCACCCTTGACGAGAACACGGAACTGGTTGCCGTCTTCCCCGGCGAACACTGGATCGATGTGAGTTGCACTGGCAAAAAAAGATCACTCAAATTGGTGGAGTACTCTCCATTATTCTCCTGTTATACTTTCATATCCTTTCAGTGGCTTGTTGAGTTAATAATATAATTTTTAAAATAATGATAATTTAATAGCTATATACAAAATTAATAACTTAAACTTTAAAATATCAGTATTTATCTTTTTTTTCATTTATGTGATTTTTACATTTTTTGGACAAGAACCTCCACAGTATTCCTACAAAAATAATATTTTTAAAACTCGTTAGCTTTGAATTGTTTGAATTTTAATGCAATATCCGTGTTTATTATTTAACTTATATATTTTATTTGTTTTTTCTTATTTTTTATCTTTGTTCTAATGCTTATTCATTGTGTTACTTTCTTTGTGAATTGTGATACTGTCTTTTCTCCGGGTGAAAGCCACTTAATTGGATAACTCATTTTATTTGTCCCTCCTTTTATCTGTCATAATGACTAATTGCATTATGGGATGCTGCGAAAGAAACGAAGCCGTAGAGAGATTAAATTAAATGCCACTTTGCACTCCGTTTATAGCCCACGCACTACGTGACCATAACCACTCCGCATGGCAGCGATGTGGGAACCGGAAACGGAGATCCTGCCACCGGAGGCGAGGGCGACACCACCGATGCCAACAACTCGGAGTCGGCTCGCATCCGCCAGTTGGTGGGCCAGCTGCAGAACAACCTCTGCAACGTGTCCGTGATGAACGACGCCGACCTGGACTCGCTGTCCAACATGGATCCCAATTCGCTGGTGGACATCACGGGCAAAGAGTTTATGGAGCAGCTCAAGGATGCGGGAAGGTGAGTAAATATTTCAAAGAGCTATAAATAACACGTATATAGGTCATTCAAGTTAGTATTGCTCTATTAACGATGATTCTAAAATAAGCCTGTTTAAGAAGTGAATCTAAATTTGGCTTTATTGCGACAGACTTTTTCCAAATCATTGATTTTTAGCCAGTACTGTATTCATTATTAAAATAAAGGTGTTAAAAATTACGTCTTTAAGTATATTTAAGAAAAATAGACTTCAGTTTATAAGCTATAATTTTAAAAACAAAGTTCTTAGGCTATGAATTTGCGATCAAACTCAATTTTATACAAAACTACAATATTGTTAGTGAATTAATATTATTGAGCCTATCAGATAAATTAAGAAAAACATGACCTTTCAAATTATTTAACATGCCTTAGATAATTGTTAAGGTAATTTTTCTTGAAATATAAATGAAGGAATTTTGTTTTCTGAGCTTAACAACCATTTCCCTTTTGATTTTGGATCACCATAACTTATTAGTTAACCCTTTTAGGCCCGAATTAAATACAGTTTCAAGGAAATGTTGTCTGTAGGCAACGGTGGGCATGAAGGGGTTAACATGCTTATTTCCCTTATATTAATTATGGTTTTTCTTCCATTAGACCGCTGTGTGCCAAGCGTAATGCCGAAGATCGATTGAATCTGCTGAAGCTCCTGAAGGCCGGAGCCATTTTCTGCTCGGAACGCTATCCGGAGGATGCGGAGGCCATCGACCGGGAGATCGGACGCCAGCTGAACGAGGCGGAGAGCGGACAGATGAGCACCACCGCGGCCAGCAACACCCGCACCATCGAGGTGGTGCAGTGCGACAATCAGAACACGACGATAACGATTACGGTGGGCGAGGCCACCTCCACTTGTTCCGCCGCCAATGGCATCGCTAACGGATCCTCAGCAGCCGAGGCGGCGGCCAACGAGGCCAATGCCAATCCGAGTAGGAATCCAAATGCCAACGGAGACATCTGACTGCCCATCTTGGGCAGCCTCAGGTGAAGTCTGCCGGCGGAGGACTAGAGGAGAGAATGAGAGATGAGAGGAGGTGAAAATCAAAAGCGAGATCCAGGAGGATATACCGACGACATCAGTCCTGCAACATGGGGTTAACATACATCGTATTTGTAGCATGTAATTAGGCAATGCGAAATCAGCGAACGAAACGAAGACAAAATCAAGCGAGAACAAAGTCACGGAGAATATGCTTCATAGTATCTAAGAGCAAATGAAAGTTAACGAACAATACACGTACTAGAATTAAACACCAAAGCGAACGAGTTCACACAGATTTGAAGAGTCTTTTAGCAATCACAGTCAGAGCAGAGGAAACGTATTTAACCATATATACACAAGCCACATGAATAATAATCAAAGGTTAGCGAAATAAGTATTATATTGGAGGTAGAAACCCTGGCGTAGGCAAAACCATCAAAAATAAAACCAGAGTGAACTAACCCGAGTAGAGCCAAAAATTGGATGGATATGGAATATAGCAAAACTGTTGACTTGCTTGCCGTGTAAATTGTGTTACGAGTAGTAGATAGAATGGAAACGCACATCAAAAATTGTTTTTAGACCAATGCCATTGTGAATGTCATTCGTTAAAGGCCAATTGAGACTGACTGTATTTATGTGTAATAGGTTTTTTCGTGGCTTGAGGCAGGTTTGGGACAGAACAGATCAGATCAGATCAGATCAGATCAGATGGAAGCTTCCAGCGCTGCCCTGTCCTTTCCCCTCTCTCCCCGCCCCCGAATCTATAGCCAAATGAATTTAAGCAAACAGCAAACATTGTTAGCAAATTAAACAATAAACGAACACAATAACGGAAATTGCAATTACCCAATTAAAGTTGGTAACTGTCTACAATTCGAATAAGCAATAAGGGAAACCGTTAACGAAAACGCAAAAAAACCAAATGCAAACAGAAAACAATTATTAAATCTAGTGAAACGCATACAGCAAATACAAGAAAACCAAACCCCGAGGCAAACTATATACACGAAACCAATTAATAATAAATAAATGAATATTAAAGCAAAGTTGAGTGAAGTAACTTGGCTCGGCGAACGGGGCGTATGCGCAACATACACAGCGTGTGCAACAGGGCGTATGGAATGCACTACTATATACTACTCTTCCGCTGGCAAAAGAGAATCGAGTTCGGTTTCCTTGTTCTGAGAGCAAGAGAGTGGGAGTCCTGCCATCTAATTGCGTTACTCGACACCATTCTCTTCTGCATTCAACTTCCTTCGTGACGTCACGTCGCCATGACGTCTGCAGGTCCTGGCTAACTGATTGCAATGCGATGCGGTGCCCTACTAACACAGTTCAAAGCTCCCGGGTGACCCAAATTCATGACGACAGCATCAACACAGTAGCGCCCTCTTTCTAGTGGGCGTGGCCCTGGCTTTGATGAATTGAATTTGTCCTGTGGCCTTTGCATTTCTTATTCCCCTTATTAACGAAACAAAACCTCTTTTTGGTGCCCATTCTTTTTTGATTTATTCTTTTGGCAAATTTTGCCTTGTTTGGATTTTGTTTACTGGACGAAAAGGAAAAAAGAAAAAGGGAAGAAATCATCGAGCGGAAAGCGCACAAAAATATTAAAAATGTAACCTAAAACCACCGGTTTGTCGTCTGCTTTTGACTGCTTTTGATGTGCGGTGGCATTTTAGGCAGGCGTGGCTGGCTAAGAAATTGTCGCACACACTTGAATTCGCATTTCTTTTGAAGTTTTCTTTGCAGATTAAAAGAAGTGTCGCAGAGATTGTTTGAAACTTAATCGAAACCAATCAAAGTTTAATTTAAACTTTATTTCACAGTGAACAAACAGTTGTATATTGGTTTTCCATATTTCTTTACCAAAGTGACAGCAATTTAATTTTAAGGATTATATTTTGAATGTGTTTTTGATTGGTTATCAAAGCTAAATGAAAATAATTTAGTAGAAATCGTAATAGTCAATTTTTTTTTTTAAACATATTTAAAATTCATTTTCGATTTTTTAGCATATTATAGCAACCATTAAAAAAAAGGTGTTCAAGCATATTTCAAAAAACCTAGCAAGACGGATTAACATTTTTTTTCTTCTTGAACGAATATTTGTATTGCTTAAACTAACAATTTTGAAAACAACTTTTAACATTAAGTACAATTTTTTTTTGATTGCTTAAGTTTTTTTGGTCCAGTTTTTTTCATGTTTTTGATCTTTGTCTTATTCTGCTGCCGCTTGGCAGCAGCGCCCAGTAGCATTTCACATGAGATTTTTCTTACTTTATATAGTTTGCCATTTAACTCGGCACATTGGTAGAATTTAATCCAAGGTAGACTGTCTCCGGGTGCAATTCTTTTAGGTTTCTTCACCTTTCTTGTTTTCTTTTTAACTAACGCCGCACTTAAAGTGGTTTGTTGCTCCTTACGAAGTTTTAACCTGTTTATGATCCTTTGACTTCTGCGCAGTTGACGGGCTGTCGGTGGTGGTAACTTGGGCTTTTCTTCAACCATCCAAGACGTGGAAGAATCAACAAATCTTGCGGACATATGTGGCTCCTCGATTATTTCCTGAATACTGTGACCAGAAGACATATTTGGTGCCACTGTCTGCAGATGATTATCAAAAGCACCCGCAAGTACAGATGATGAAGGCATAGGTGGTTCTTCAGTTTTGTCCAGAGTACCTTCTTCAGAAGACATATTTAATGGGACTCTGCAAATTATATTTAACGGAACAAGTTGTTGGCTCAAACAATGATAATGTTTGAATAATTTTTCTTTTAGAGAACTTATGTATGTTACTTGAAGTAGAGTTTTTTGTATATGAGGAATTATTGGGTTTGAGTTAAGCAACAGATTTTGATGGCTTCCTACGTTTTTAACAAAAATGAAAATTATTTTGTTTGATTGAATTCTGAAATTTCCAATACCTTTTTTAAGTTTTAACATTTCAGTTGACAAAAGTTGTGTGTGAAATTTTTACAACAAATTTTATTCACTTGACTTTCGAGAAACTTTGGATTAAGGAGGAAATTAAAACGTTAAGATCTTCTCTTTAGTTAAAGTCTATATTTATTAAATATTTTAATTAAATGAAGTAGTTAAAATTTTTAATAAACTGCACTCCCACTCGTCAGTGGATTAATTTCTGTGGAAATAAAATCGACTTTTACCACTCTATTTTGCTACCATTCGTTCATCGTTGTTATTTCTTCCGGTATTCGAAGCTTGTTGCATGCGCATACAGACACTATATCCTTAAAGCACAAATGTCAAACGTCTCACAACAAAGAGGCGGCAGCGTAAAGGGGGCGTGGCTGGATAAACAACATATCGAATGAAGTCTTGGTTTGCTCAACTAACGAGTCGCTTCTCTCCTCAACGAGGACAAATTTCTCTAAAATTTTTGCTGCCTTTCCTGCTGCTTTTTGCCTTTTTGCCTTTTTCATTTTTTTTTTATTTTTACACATTTCTCCCAAATAAATGTCAAGGATAGAAAGGCGAGGGGACAGAATGTTCTTAGAAGAGGAGGGGAGGCGGGAGGTAATGGGTGGTAAGCAGTCGCCGCAGGCTGTTGATTTTTCTTCCAAAGCATGTGTGTTTTGCGCTGCACATAAACAAGGCGCTGTGTAATAGATGCCGCAATGGGCATTACTAATGCGCCCCGTGGCACTTTTCGCCCTCGTATGCAAGGGCGGGGAAAATCAGCGAGCTTTGTGGGCGACGAGGGCGGTCCATAATTGTGCAGTTCGAGCCGCTGGCAGCCGCAAACTGGTGCTTAGATTGCCTCATTTGGGTGTTTGCCTTTGCCACCCGGAAGTCATTACGTCTGCGTATATGAGTACGCGTAGCTACACCTAAAAAAATATCAAACACACTCTGTAACCCAAACAAAAAAAAAACCTAAAAAAAATTGGCAATCAATATGAAATTATTAAATAACCTATAAATAAATAGGGTGACACATTAACCTCTGGGGATCTATTGTATAAATATGGATTCTTTTTTTGATTATAGGATGTGAGCCTTTTTTTTGTGAAGAAAAATTGAATATATGTAGATCATTGTATTCTTTTTTCTTACCTATGTTGAACAAAACGACTTCTGAAATTAAGCTCTCCAGAAGGGTCACCAACACCTGCAATGTGAGGCATATTCATTGACTATTATAAAAAAAAAATTACTAATTTAAAATTCTTTTAAGTGAAAGTAACATGTATTCAATTTAAATTTGCTTGCCTGCTATTTACTCAGTAAATATATTTTAAAACTTAAAAATTATTTTACACATATTAAATTTGTATAATTTTACACATATTTTTGTTGGAGTGTAGCCAGCCTGTAGCCAAGGACCCAGCTGTCAGTAATGAAAATTTAAGTAAGTTTGGCAAACGCAGATATGAAATTAACAGTTTTGTTTATCGTGTTGCAGCTGTTTTTCCTGCTGGCCATTCGTGCGAATGACCTTTCACAGGATCAGCAGGATATGGCCGCCAGCATGCAGGCGTTGCAAAGGCATCTGGCGCATCCTTGGAACACCCCATGTATTCGCAACTGCCTGGAGGAGAAAAACATCCTTGGGGATCGACCAAGTGAATGCCAGCAGGTCGAGCAGCAATTCGAATGTACACTGCACTGCATCTTTCAGGTCGAGCCATTAAATTTGAGTGCGAATACGCACAGGTTGGTTAACCATTAAACCAATTATAGCCACCCACACGACGGTACCTATAAAAAACCCGTTCGACACACAAAATAATTAAGTATGCCATTAAGAGGGATTGTAATTGCTTGTTACATACCAGCAAGGCCAATGCGTCGGTGCTTGTTTTCTTTCATTATTTCCCATTTCCCATTTCCCGTTTCACATTTATTTTAATTAAATTAAAATGTTTGCCATATTTTGGTTTTTTCGGCCCGAATTGAAATGCCGTTTTTCTGCCATTTAATTTCATTTAGACTGCTGACAGTATCAGCAAATATTTGCCATTTACCCGCGCCGCTTGTGTTTTTATTGACGAGTTTTTGGCGAAAAATGTGTGCCATGGATGGCTTCGAATACCAAAGGTCCGGCCAGGATCGGGGACCATTAATCATCAGCACATGCGACCAGAGAGTGTGACCTTTGCGACGACATGTGAGTTAATTAATCTAACTGCCCAGACGGCGAAGGTCACATATCGCAATTAAACATGGCAGCTGATGATGAAGGGAATCCGCCTCGCATTCACCTTGCAGCCCAGACGCATAAATTTCAATTTGCAACACCCTCCGTCTTTGCATTTAAATTGATGGCGATGCTGGTTTTCCTGCTTCTGCTGCATATGCGAAAAGTTGTTCGCTCCGCGCTCCAATGCGCAATTAGCGGACCGCGGCCCATAAATTATTTGGCCAACCGCCCGGGGGAAAGCGGACGTTGGGAAATGGAAAATGGCGGGCGGAAATGATTGCCCTGAAGGGCGAATAAACAGATGAATATGATCAAAAATGGCTAACCTTCGGACCAAAAAATATGCATAATTGAAATGCATTTATCAGTCATGACATGACTGGAGTGACAATCATCACGTGCTCATCGTTGGCAGTCGTTGTTGAATAATCTGGATTTCCGCAACCGGCAATCAAATCAACCTTGGCTCACACGGCGTATGCGCAATATTTCTGCTTTGTAAGCCCCGCTCAGTGATAAATATGGTTTTGGTGCGGTTTTTGTTTGTGCCCAAAGCGAATAAATTAGATCAGCATGCAGCAAGGGAATCGCATGAATTTTTATGCATTCCATTTACCAAAAACTATAGCCCATTCCAAATGCAAATGCCAATAAATCTAGGCTTTTGTCTCGCCCTCAAAGGCAAATGCACCTTTGTCTGAAACTTTTCGCCAACAGAATTCGGCATTTTAATTATGCAGCCGTAGTCTCATTATGCCGAAGTGAAATTATTCAGCTGCACGCCTGGAGTTGCTGGCCCAAATTGCCAACTTTATTTTATTGCATTTTTAAACTTTGCCCTTACGCCCAAAAGTTCACACTGAAATATTTTATACTTGCCTAGCATGTCTCTTCCATATATATTTAGTGTTGTTTGTCTTTTGTTTTCCGTGGTCCCTGCTAAGTAGAACTATTTGCAGCTGCTCCAGTAAACTTTTCCCATTTCCACTTTACAGGTCATAGAGTCTGGATTCCAGAACAGGCCAGACCAGACCAGAGTTTTTTCCCCTCGTAGACCCCATATTTTAGAGCCGTCACGCCCAGCTTAGCCATGGCTAACAGCATCTTAACAGAATCCTCTCTTTCTGTGATTTTAGTGTCCTGCTCTCACGGCCAAAGCTCGGCGAAGGTTAGACTTTGGCCAGTGTGTTTGCAGGACCTTCTGACTTTGAAAATTGTGTTTTCGCAACAGCCGAAGCTGTCGGCAAATTCAACGAGTCCTGGCTTGTTTAAATACAGCACGCACAGACGTCTGGCAATTTATTCCAAGTTCGGCCGGCTTTTGTTGCACTTGGCTGTTGTGAAGCGGTGGCGCGCGATCCCCACTTAAATCGCGTACCATAATTATCGGCAACTCAATGGTCGAGCATCGCCGGAAAATGTAAAAAAATCGGTTCATTAAAGTTGAGGTGCAAGGTAATGAGTAATATAATTGTTTTGTTCAAGTTTAGTGAATATAATGATGAGTTGTTGCAATGAAATTCAGCTTGGTGTCATAATTAAAATAAAGTAAGAACATGGAAATAAATATTCAAAAAGTGAACAGAAAAATTACAAGTTTATAAAATAACATTTACATTGTTTGAATAATATAACTTTGTATATCAATCAAAAATATTTTTGCTTTATAAATTAAAGTGAAACAAATAAGTAGCAGTTCAAATAACATAATTTCACAACCCAATAACAAAACAAAACATAAATTATCAAAATTTCTATTATCTGAAAAAGAAATAAAAGAATATTTTTTTTCTTAATTTATTAAATTTGGCAATAATATTAAAGATTTATAAAAAACGGAAACAAATAAATCGCAGTTCAAAGAAATAAATAAAACTATAGCTCATAAGTTTATAAGTTAAATCAAAAACAAAGAGAAAAATACCATTTTTTTAGAAAATATAAAAACATATCTTATATAAACAAAAAATGTTCTACTCAAAATCAATATTAAAACTCTAAACCATTTTTGGGAACCACAATTTAAACCAATATCATTCTGTGACCTTTACATTGAGCAATTTTGGCAATTGAAAAACTTTTTTAAATCAAAGCCGAAACAAATGCCAAACATCGTTTTCGTTATAAATTTTCTGTTCAATGCAAACAACACATCTGAAATAACAATAACACAAAGTCCGTCTGGCTGGCAGTTTTATTATGCTTGCTTCGGCGGCTCTAAAACATTACCGAAAATTCACATACAGAATATTTCAATTATCGTTTAAACTTGTTTTGCTTGTTATAAATTTCTCGACCATGTTTTCCCACTACAGCAGAGAGAAGTTCAAGTTGTCCAGACGACCAGAAGTGCAAGCTTTCGAGACGAGCATAATATATGACCGAAATGAGTGCGGATGAGACAAAGTCGGCTGGAATGCCACAAGGAATTGAGGAGGTAGAAGGAGCAGGATCTGCAGAATCTACAGAATCACCTGGAGAAGGTGATTCCGACTCCAGAATAGTGGCTCCTCCGCCGCCCAGACAACGTACTCTGACCCGCACGGCCGAATTGGATGCGGACTGCGAGGACTTGGAGCTGGACGCCGACGTGGACGATGCGGCGGATAGCATCACCTTGGAGTTGGCCCTGTCGCCGCACAGCAGCACCACGCCCACTCCGTCGCCAACCACCGCCGACGAGGACTTCGCCCAGCTGGACAACAGCAAGCCCTTCAAGGTGGGTATTCCAATCATCCTTTGTGGCATTTGGCCACGCTACCTGCTTCCTGTTAACTGGGCCAGCATTTCGTTAAGTGATTACTGCCGCGTCATTGTTACGCTTGTTGGTTGGTTGTACAAAAAAGAAAAAATCAGGAAACAGAAAAAGAGAAAGGAGAAAAAAGAGTGAAATTGGAGGTGAAAAAAGTTCGTTGGTCAGGTCCGGAACAAAGTGAAGGGTTCGCCGGCGGAGCGGCCACTTCAAAGCCTTCGGCGTTGAGTGGCACCATCGACATCGGCACTGCTGTTGAAGTGCTGCTGCTATTGCCGCTGCTTTATTCGCCCTTTAAGCATTCTCTCAACTTTTCAATCCGCTGCAAAATACGGTGCGGGAAAAAATTCCGGGAAAACAGAGCAGCTTCCTTGCTTTCGTCTCACTTATTTCGAAACGCCAAACGCTATTTGACTATAAAGATTGCGTAGCCGTAGCCAATTTAGTGCACAGGAAAATAAATAGTTTCGCTATGGCAAGATCTCTTTATTTTGGCAATAAAAATTTATAAGTGTCAATATTTGATTTTTAGTTTAGCTGCAATTAAATACAATTTTATTAAAGCTTAAATTTGTATAGGTATTTTAGAATTTAGTAATCTGATAAAAAAATATTTATTTAAACTTATTGATCTTTAAGATCCACTTTTTCAATACAATGTTATCTAGTTAATAAGTTTGTAAAAAGCTAATATAGATTTTTAGACATGGTATCACCGATATTTTACAAAAAAATGCAATAACTTTTACTTTTATCGAAATGAATTAAAATATATTCATAAACAATTCGTTCCATGACATAACATAATATAATGTAATGTAACGCTTTTAAAATTTAATTTAAAATCTTAAAGTGTTAAAGTTATAATATAAAATTCTGTACTTAATATGAACTCTTTCATATCAAAAACATAAATTTGTGTCCCGCTTCTGTCTTTGTAAAATACTACTCCCAAAAATTAATAACCCAGTGACTTACAATCTACTTTGAACATCTTTTTCTCGCTGTGTGGCTGGTAAACAATTGAAATTTAATTAAAATGTTGAAACTGTTCAGCTGGATAAAATAGTGGCATTGGCATGCGGGCGTCGAAGTGTGTCAACCAACAGGCCAATCATCTCGTCATTTGGCCAATCACACCCACTTTTAAGCCAAGTTGCCTGTGCGCGACGATAACGATAAGGAGGCGTCTTGGCCGCCACCCTAATCGATTTATTGTGTGCTAACGACATTAAAGCCACACCGCCGTGGCAATATAAACTGGCCAAAAGATCGCCATCTGGTCATCTGGCCATCCGTCTGAATGGATGATGAGCTCTACGAGCTATTAAGTGGCTGTAAATTTGCCAGGCGAGAGCAATTAATTGGCAGCTTGATGTGGCCGAAACTCGATACCATTTGTCAGTGGCAGCTAACTGATGAAGGCGTTTTGCGGAGGCCCACGTGACGTATGAGTAATTCATGCGAAACTCAGCTAATTAATAAGCCCTCATCTTGACGTGGCTCCCTCTTCTTCGAGTGTTCCAGGCACTGCTAAGCTGCTGATTAAAAACGCTGAAATGCTTGCTGATTTTATCTCTTTGACTAATTGCACAAGAAATGGAAAGCGAGTTTGATTTAACATAAGAGCTGATAATCCTTGAGCTGTTAATAAGTCAAAGCACAAAGTAAATTGCTGGGTTGGATTCTGAGGAGGCCCTTTATGATTTGGCTTAAAACGATTTCGAGTTAATTGATTGATTGGTATTTGCCTGTAAAATCCTTTAAAGGGAACTCTTTTTTTTTTAGATAATCTTGATATTTTTTGTAAGCATCCTTGCCTTAGACATCCCAAAGAGTTCAATGGTTCAGTTTAACTTTGCAGATGGCTTTTCCGAATTGTTTTCATTGCCCCTTGAACCACAAAATCCAAAATAAATAAAGATTTCTCCCATAAAATCTATGCAAGGGACATTTTTTTTTCTCTTCTTTTGTGTTCCCTGCTTGCAGTCTCTGCAATTTTATTTTCTCGGCCAAAAGGATGCTATGGCAGACCACAGGAAATTAAATTCCAGTGAAACAAATTTAATTGGAAGTGGGTGAACGCGCAAATGCGTTTTTCATGTCACACTCGTTCGGCGTCCACCTTTGGGTTCCCAAATGCAAATGGCTCAAAAATAAAGTGTGAGATTCACGGTGAGAGGGGGAAATTAAATTACCAGCAGACACGCCGCACGGAGCAGCACCAGCAAGCAACCAGAGGAACAAACAAAAGCGAAGAGTAAATATTTGGGAGAATTCGCCTTGCTGAGACTGAGACATTGCGTATACGCCACGTTGTGCATTAAGCCAAATAAACGAGCATTATTCATGTCCAGGCAGGCGTGCAACTTAAGTGCGGCATGCGAGGACGAGTTTGAAAGCAGTTGAGAACTCATCATGGCCCATGGACTTCAAATGAATGAACTATGCTAATGATATCCTTAGAACAAAGCAGCACATTTGGGGAGATTTCCACTTAGATTGAAAATAAACTCGAAATTTGTCGCTTATAAATGGGCTCTTATCCTTCGAAAACTATATTTGAAAGAGTTTAGATCGACTGAAATATTTGTAAAGTCTATTCACAATATTGAGGGTAATATTTAAGTTTAAGTTTGGTAAATTTAATATTTGAGTTTTAATAATTATTTCTTCATATATTTTAAGGGTTTTATTTCGTTCGTATATATTATGTATGTTTTAATATTATTAAGGTTCTATTTGTTAGTAGAAAACCCGACTGAAATATCATTAAAATAACTATGTTAAGATTCCCCTAAAAATAATTAGAATTTATTTTCACATCAAAACATTGGAAATGCACAATACATTTAAACATTAATTTTTGAATGAATGTTGAACAAATACTTAAAGATATTTCTCTCAGTGCCCAAAAGTCTGTGTTACTATGGAATTGTGATGACAATCAAGGGAAATTAGTGCGACAATGTCTCCGATAAATGCCATGAAGCGAGAATTGGACAATGGACACCGGAGGCACATCAAAGCAATTTCGTAGGCCGAGACCTTGGGCCATTCCAAATTACTGCGGCTTCCATTACGCAGCCCGAAATCGGGTTTCCTCCATTGAGGGAGTCGAATTCGGACTCAATAATTGCCCACAGCCTTCGCAATTTGCATTTCCTGACCTGGCCCTAAGTGCTATTTGAACAACAGATTCCCGAGCACACACACACTCACCCAGTCACACACATCTCAGATGTCTCATGCCGAATTCATGACTGCACTGCACAGCGTGTCCTGCGCATTGTCCTTGCCACGTTCCTGGCTTGTTTGTCACCTGTTCTAATGATGCCGCTGCTTTGGCTATGCAAACGGGGAATTTACAAATTTACAGGGGCAATATTGACGCTGGACGACACTGGCAAACAAAAATGCGAGCTTCTCTCGAAAGCACAACCGCTCAGATGGTAAATATTGGCATGGCATTGCCTCGGGAAACAGAGACTACAAATCGGCCCGAAAAGTGGAGCCGCAATTCAGGTCGAGATACTAACTGCAACTGGATGAAGCCACTTGAATTCGCCATGCCAGCCAATTGAAGGGATTGACCAACAAAAGTCAAAGTTCAACTGGGGCCACTCCAAAATGTGAGAAAACACATTGTTCGGCGGTGGCAGGCAGTTAAGAAAGCCAAGTTATAATGACTTTCTGGCAGCAGCAACAGGGAGGGCCAACAAAGGCGATGAAGTGGCATAAAGCAAACAAAGCCGCAGGGCATTGGCATTTGGCCCCAGACTTTGTGGCAGTGGGTTGCTGATTGAATAGTTTCGCAAATGCAAACGAAAATATCCTACGCTTTAATGGGCCACGCCCTCTGCCCATTGAAATTGGCATTAACTGCATGATACATTTTCATTGTTCTAATAGCTAGTGGCTGTTGGCTGGTGGCTGGTGGCTGTGCTCCAGACTCCGTCCAGACGTTGGCCATTTGATGGATTCCCTAAGCATCGTATAATTGGTTTAGCAGACTGCCGGGCGGGGGATTGATTGATGGGCCGTAAAACGGAAGGTCGAAATGGGAGTCCTTTGTGGTGATGATTCTGATGATGCCGCAACGAATGCGATGCATTGCGATTAAATGGCCACAAACCACTTGACAGACGACTGTCAACCGGAGACACCTGACGATCTGTCACAACCAGACACGCCCCTTGGCAATTCATCAGGGGAAATACCCACCCGCAGTCGGGGCGTATGCGTAATGCCAAAAAGAAGCACAAAGGAGGCGTTGGCAACTTTTCGACTAAAGTCCCTTCCACTTGCCCATTTTTGCCTTGTTTACTTTTACCTTTCGCTTGACCCACCCATCCATCCATCCAAACCATCCATCCATTCTTGGCCTTGGCAGTTACCTGTTTGCCTGTTTGGAATCGACAGCATTATGCTTTAAATATTTTAGTAGCAATCTTTTAGGCCCAAAAGAGGCGGAAAAAGGTAGAAAAATATAATCGACTTGTGCCTTGACCTTTCCCATTGTTCGTTTGCCTTTATTGTTATGGCAAATGATAAATTGATTAGTTGTTGCTGGTTGCTGGTTGCTGGCTGGTTTTACCTTCCCCAAACTTTTGTTTTATCTCCATCACAATTAACCTGCTTCTTTTCCTATCCTTACTCTTATCTTTCTCGCCGCGCTTCGTTAACTTCATATTATTTTTATTGACAGCTGCGAAGCAGTCTGCCTTACGGGTCTTCTGCAAATTAAAGCAAACAAAAATGTTTCAAACTTGTGTGTCTCGTTGTGTTGCCATAGCCTAATGGGCAAAATGTGTGAGGGCTTAACAATTGACTATCATAAACACATTTGGCTGGATAAACATTTGGGTGTGGGCTTCTGCGTCGCAATTGATAAAATAATTTTACATCACCGATGGGTATACCTATCTTTTTTCTCTTATTTCACAGCTAAAGTGCCATTTAATTTAAATTTACTCTTTAATACGCTTATTCAAATTCCAAATCGAACACCAAATGTTTGTGGGAAAAATGGTTTAACCATTCTATTGCTTGTTTAGAATATTTTGATAAAAGCTGAGGCTAAAATATTTGGTTTGAAAATTTATATACAACCCTATTTATTACAAATTCTTTTGAAAATTCCACTCTTAAGATGGACAATCGCTTCTCGCTTTTCCCAACTCTAACACTGCCATAAATAAACTATTGGAAATTGGTATATTCAACATAACCCATTGTATAAGTTTATGTTTTATAAAATTAATGTCATTTTGAATAAAATAATGATTTTACGAAAATTTAAAAAAAATAGTCGATTGATATTGGGATTAAATTGTAAAAGTCTAAAATTGTTAAGGGTTGTTTAAATAAATAAATAATTATATATATGATAAAATTTGGTTAAATTTTTGCCAGTGTTCTAGTTAAGCCTTCTCTATCACAGCTATGCAATTTCTGGCATGTCAATACAGGGGCTGAATTCGTCTTGAAATTGGTGGTAATCCGTCGGCTCCATTTCAGATCAAGGACATCACGCGGAACATCCGCAAGGCCGTGGTGGCCACAACGCTGTCGGAGTTGCGGGTGAAGGTGTCGGTGAAATTTGAACGGGCTCAGCCGGCGATACACCTGGATTGCGATGGCACCGAGGTCGATGATGAGGAGTACTTCAGCACTCTGGAGCCAAATGCCGAATTGATTGCCGTCTTCCCCGGCGAGCAGTGGCGCGATGTGAGTAGTTTTGCCCATAATCCTCGTATCCTGACTTTGGAAAAACCCTTTCCTATTTCCCATTTCCATTTTACCCTCAGCCCAGCGACTATAATGCCAATCTGCGTCGCACCTCGCTGGATGCTCACGGGTTGCGCAAGTTGGTGAGAAAACTGCAGCCGAACTATATGAACGACGATGATTTGGACAAGCTGTCGAACATGGATCCCAACTCGCTGGTGGACATTACGGGACGTGAGCCTAAGGACAACGAATACTCGGCGAGAAGTGATGCCGTCAGGAGATCCACGGAGTTGTCCTGCTAGGAAAAACGTGGTAGCTTAGGAACTGTGTGAATTGAGAGTGTATTTATAGGGAATTTGTACGAGTTTATATGGCTAGCAGGAGTAGTATTTTTGGAAAACGTTTTGATGACGGCACTTGAAGCGACCGATTTGGATGGTTGTACCGTGGGGTTTTATCTCAATAACCGTAGTAGATCTGAAAGTTGTGTATTTTTCGAGCCCACATTGTCGTAGCACATTGCAACTCACCTTGAATGTCTATTATCAGCCGCTAATTGTTCCTAGACCAATAGCCGACCATATGAGCCAAAATCTGGAGTGCCTCAAAGGTCGATCTCCAGACTTAGATAACCTTACCCTCACCTCACTCAACGGACGATCAACGAATTGCAGAATATAGACCTTATCTGGGCTATTAGATATATACATATATATAGTATATTTTCCATACCGGAATCCTTGTGAATGTCACATCAAAAACAGTTTGGGTTATTAGGGAGCAAACAAAAATGTACTTTAATTGAATCTCAATTAAACCAATTAGCAATTGAATAAACATTCACCCTAGGCACACAAATAAGGGTTTTTACCCATTTTTATGTGTATTTATGATGCATCAATGAACAAGCACAATTTGCTGCACTTCTCAAAGGGTTATAGAAAACCGAATTAAATTCAATTTACATTTAAGTTATGTCCACAGGAATCAATTGAAAATTGTAATTTGTAACTTGAAAAAAAAAAACGAAACGAACTAAAACAAAAACAAAAAAAGAAAATAAATAAATGGATAAATGTGTGAAAATTACTTTTTATCGAAACAATTAAATGCGATTTTATGTGCAGAGTGGGGATGCTTTTCCGGATTTTATGTGGTCGAAAAACCACTTTGCGAATAGTTTTCAAGGATAAGCAACTTTTGCTAAAGTAATCCTTTTTATTTGTGTGCTTCGGACAAAGCCAAAATTCGGTATCAATCGATCAAAACCTAATTACATTAAATATTTTCTGATTCTTTAAGCTGGCTTTCTTGTGCTTTTAATATTAGCACCATTCATCAGTTCCTAGATTATGAGGAGCACTTTTAATAATGCGAAGAGCCTTTGCTTTCCATTCAGAGCTCTGGCTTTTATTAGCTTACCACTACTTCTCTGCAATCTCAGATATTTGAAATTTCACTTTCCATCCACATGCTGCCATTGCAATGGCAGCTTGCTCTTATGGATGGAAACAAATCTAGCAAGCAGGCAGCAAAAAAAAGATTGCACTACTATGTGAAACATGGTAAACTTTTTTTACTTTCTCATTTGCTTGCCGGTCAATAAGAGCTTAAATCCATGCTGAAGTTCCGGATGCGAGCATAAAATATGTTCTGGAATCCCTGCCAGGCGTTGAAGTTTAAATGCAAACGGCATAATGGAAATGAGTCAGAGTGCCATCAGAGTTTCCATATAACAATCGCTCGAATCGGAAGCCTTGACTGAACCTTTGGGCTTCCGCACACAGAATGCCACAAATTTGTAATACGGATAATTTGTGGACTGGCGACAGAAGCGCAGGATGCGTTACACACGGCTGAATACGAAATGTTCCAGTAAAAGCGTATGTATTTAGGGGAGAAAACAACACCGGAAAATCTGACAGATAAAGGTAAATAGGATGCACTCATAGAAAAAGCCAGCCATATGCGGAAAGCATTGGTCAGAGTTGGTTGCCTTTGGCTGCCACATACCTATATATGTTTTTAGCCAACCGACTCATTTCCCTTGAAACTTTTTGTTTCCCGCCATTTGCTTACCCCTAAAAGTTCGAACTTGCCACCTGGGGAGGTGGGCAAATAAGGGTACATCTGCCAGTTGCGGCTTACATTAACAACCATGGCAGATTTATGCGCCAGTTATGCACTTCTCGGTGGCTCTTACACGGCATTCTCAAGCCGAGCTCATTGCGCTGCGGTGGGAATTTGCCACACCTGAGCTCCTGCCGCCAAAAGTCCTTGGCTTCCGACGTGGCGGAAGTGTCATTGTTGTTCTGAATCAAACGCATTAAAAATTTATCGAATTTATTTTTATGAGCGCTCAGTCGTTTTCCTTGGCTGCCATGCCATCCGACTGAGTTGCTCCTGCCACTGCACTTAAGCTTAGTTTTCCAGTGCGAGGAGGTTTAGAGGCCTTGCTTATGCGGGCCAGATGTCTCTTAATTCACACCATGAAATGCAATGACAGGTCTAAGCCCGGCCACTCGGCAAGTGTCAATCAAAAGCAATTAACAGGGTTCTTAAAATCCATTTGAAAAGAAAACAAGAAAAGGATGCACTTACAAAATCAGTGATTCGACATTGATTGTTACGCAAATTTACTTAACTAAATCTCTTTAAAGATAACTATTTTAGAAGTCTTTCAAAATGTTAAATTAAAAAGATTTAGTTTAAGAAAACCATAAAATAAATTAATTCTTAACAAAATTAATAAGCAATTTTCTAACATCTGCAAATTAATTTAAAATTTTATTATAGTGCCAGAAATTCTCGAAGAAATATATTTTAAGGAGTGGGTAAAATGCTTCCATTTATTCAACTTATTTACTAAAAGTTATAATTAAATAATGTGCAGCCATAAATTCTCCTAGTGCAATCTCGAAGAAATACATTTTTAAGAGTGAGTAAAAGCAGAAAATACCATACCATACCGTGTAAACTATTTTAACAATTCATTTACCGAAGTGAAAGAGGAAGATTCAGTTTGCTATTGTTTCCATTTCATTTTATTCGTCGTTATACAATTCGTTCTAGCAACTAAAGAAAATAATATTATGCAGGCATCCACAGAACAGACGCTTCCGTGCAAGGATAATTATGAGAATAATCGAGAGAAGGACGTAAATGCTCATCGACTGGCGAAGCTTAGCGAAGTAGTGCTTTCGGCAACAGTTCCTTTTCGGGATGTCCTTCAAGGAGCAGGGGCATGGATTTCCGTGAAAATCATAAATGAATAACAATTTCCGAATAACAATATCAGGCAGGGACATATCTGGATAGGCTGGGATGGTGTGGGAGTGCTCAGTAGACGAACTTCTTCTGCTCGCCATAGATGGATTCGTAGAGGGAGGGAGCCAGGTGCTCGGCCAGGAAGATCTGCAGCCTCTCGGTGGCCGTCACCGGAGTGTAGCGGGCCATGGGGAAGGTCCTGGTCACGGCATCGATGAGAACGCGCAGCGTGGGCTGGATGTCGGCTGCCTGAAAACGAGAAACCAAGTCCCAGGATTAAACTCTCGTTAGCCACCGGACACACGTTTCTGGGAAGGCTATTGGCGTTACTCATACCTGGCGAGAGTACTTCTCCACCGACGTCATGGCCGCCTCGTAGTAATCCTCGCCGTAGGTCTTCTTCTGCTCCGAGGAAAGCTGGTTCCACATTTGCTTGGCCTGCGGAAAATATGTCAGGGGAAGGGAAAAGGAAGCAGCCAGGTTAATGAGATGCCCGCAAACTGTTTTAGCAGTCCCCACTGCTCGGGAATAGTTATCGTATCGTAAAAAACTAAAAGCACGACAAGGCTAATACACGTGAAGAAAAAACGAGTACTCAGGGGTTATAAGGTGCCATATCCATTGTTGAAAGTATATTTTTCTTTTATTAGCTGACTTTAAAAATATAACTTTAACTACTGAACTACTAATACTACGCAAATAAAAAAATTAGAAAAAGAAATGATGTATTGCCGTTATCCCTAAATCTTTTTAAAGCTATTATTACTAATAGAAGGTATTATAATTTTAAAGAAATTATAAATCTCATTGATAGTTACTTTTCTGTTTTTCAGCAATGGATTACTATTACTACAACCCAAATAGAAACATCACTTTAAAGAAAATGGGAAATCTTAATAATAGAAGGTATTTTCCTGTTTCCAACTAATCGACTACTACTACTAGATTTTTCTAACCAATTGATGGAAAAATAAGGGGAAATTTTCTTAGTGTTAACCATTAAGCAACGCATATTTAGTGCAATGCCGCCATTAGCTTCATTTCTCACCTGGTCACGCAGCTCCGTTTCGTTCAGCCAGCCGTTGCCGGGGGCGAACTCTCCGGCAGCCACCACGGACACGTCCACTCCGCGGGTCCTCATCTCCTGGCGCAGACAGGCGGCAAAGCAGTCGACGGCCGCCTGGGTGGCACACTGGATGCCCCGGACGGGCGATGGCACCCGATTCAGGCCCGAGGTGAGGAAGACCACGCGACCATGGGCACGGCGGACCAGGGGCAGGAAGATTTGGGTGAGGCGAGCTCCACCTGCGACAAATTCAAAAAGGAAGCGATGTTCAAGGATGTTGAAACCCTGGTCCTGCGCACAGTGGCGCCCCCCCACACCTACCCAATAGGTTCAGATCCAAACTCTTGCGCAGCACGGCAAATGGAATCCACTCGAGTTCGCCCAAAGCTATCCAGTGGGCGCAGTGCACCACAGACCACAAGCCCTCGGCGCCATGGGGCAAATGCTGCGACACATAGCGGGCAGCTTCCAAAATCTAAGGACCAAAGGTTTTTAACTTGGCTCTAAAAGCTCAGGACTAAAAGCTCGCCCGTGTAGACTTACGGTTTTCTCCGATGTGACGTCCAGATGCAGCAGCTTCATGCGTCCCGAGGTCTCCTCCTTGAGTATCTTGGCCTCGTCCGAATCCTCGATGGGCGTGTTGAATCCGGCGTAAACGGTGAAGCCCAGGTCGTCCAGTTTCTTGGCCAAATACCAGGCCAGTGGGGCCTCGCAGCCAGTGATTAGCACGCCCTTGCCCGAAGCGGATACCTGTACAATGTACATACAGAGAAAGTCAACAAAAAATTATTTATCAATTGGGTGTTATTTCAATATACCAATATATACATTATCGTTATAATTTAACCTCTTAAAAATATTTAAGTTTTTTATTTAATTATCAAAAAGGATATTTTCTGAAAGCTAAAAGTCTGGAGGTTGATTATTAGAACAAAAAAGTGTCTCAAAGTATAACTGATATGTCATTGTTTCTATTATTATTTTTAATATTTGTTAATTTTCTTTTAAGCTTGAAATATAATTTTATAAAATGCGCTTTTAAACTCCCATAAAAAGGTGTTAGGACACGCATTTTAGTTCTTTATAAACTAAAAATGTATATTTAAATGTTTCTATCTCAGTTTATTGTTTTATTAGTAAACTTAATAATTCGACTTTGATTAAAATAAATTACTAAAAAATGTGTTAAGAATCTAAACATAAATTCTACATTTCTAACACTGCAAATTAATTTTGATTGTTCTTATAAGAAAACTTTATATAAATATAAAATAAATATAAATATAAAATAATAATTAAATTACATTGCTTTAATGTTCTTTTCCACGTGTAAGAGACTTATGTGAACGGGTTGCAGCTAGGTTGTTGACCTCATCAGCTAATTAATGCTCAACAATTATAACGCCAATTAGCCAACAATTGAGCCGCGGCATCTTTGGTTTTTGTGTGAGACAGAGTATCAAGTTTTCTCATCAGAAGTTTGACCTTTGGACCAAAAGAAATGACGTCTGTGAGCCATAAGTCCGGCCACTTAAAAGTCGTGTCACAAACTGGGCTTAGACGGCCGCGCAACTTTGTCAACAGCGATTAAAGTTCGCCAGCTTTCGTTTTCAAAGCGAAAGTCCGGCATAGAACGTCTCCGTTTTGTGTGGATGGATGGCTGGATGGATGGGTGGTTGGATGGGTGTGTGTGGTGTGGTGTGTGTTTGTAGGGCTGTGACAGATATTTGTTTAAGTTCATCGCGGCTTGAGACGCTGATGATGATGGAAAGTTGAAGTGGGCGAGCAGGAAGACGTGTGCTCACTAAGACTTCCGCTTTAGACACGCGCATCGTTGAGTCTCTTTGCTTCTATTGTGGCCTCTGCAGGATTCTGCCAAGGACCAAGGGACCAAAGGACCAAAGGACCTCCTTTTGCGGCGGGGATAGTGTCATATCCATCATGCCATTAACCAATATACATTCTTCGCCGCCGCGTTTGCGTCAATCGGGTTCGAAAAGGGGAGGTAGACGGACGGCTACTCATTGTTCGGGCTATTAAACCGTTATAAAGTGCTCGTAAAATTGTGGAAAATACAACAACAACAAAAAAAAGAGAAAAGAAAGCGGGCCAAAACGGGTGTATTATTATTGGCCGTGCTGTTGACACCCATTAAGACTGGCCGACATTTTATTGTGGCCATAAGTGTTTGGCTTATCGAAATCTGTTGGCCGTTGTTTGGCGTTAATAAAAACACAAACACTCGTCGTTGGTGGTTATTTGGTAGCTCTGGCTTGCCACTTTACCACTCCACCACCCACAGAATCCTGTCTAAGTTTTAGACAAGTTATGTTCCTCCGGTTTTACGCGAACCTACTTAAGATATAGTACGTAGTGCTCTGCAAACTTTGGGTCAACTTTTCCGCTAAAAATGCGCACAGCATTCTGCATCCTTGGCTGCCTTTGCTGCCACCCCAATTTATTGCGGTTGAGCATAAATTACTTTAAACTTTGCTGCAACTAAAAACAGCAACTGACTTAACGGAATTGAGCAATTAAAATCCAGCAAAAAGCTGGAATAAAAGGAAAACAGAAAGAAAAACCAAGAAACTAAATGTTTAGAGTCAATTAAAGTGCATTGGGGGGAAAGCAGAAATTGTGGCAGCTTTTGCACAAGAAAATCCGATAAAACGCCCAGACACTGGCACTGGGCTTCCCAAGAATAATTATTGACGAAAGCAGAGAAGCTGCTGGGTTTCTGAACTTCTAAGTCATCAAAGCAGTTATAACTTTCCAACGCAAATATTTAATTACCGTCAGCTTAATTACTTCCCTTACTTTTGACCTTTAAAATAAGGGGGTGGCTCGTGCGTTTAATTAAGAGTTTCAGTTTTAAGTGCATTGGGTAGAAGTAATTGTAGAGTAAATATAACAAGTTCTTATCGCTTAATTAAAAAAAAATCGATATTTAAATAAGATATCATGCTTCATCAATCAATCAATCAATCAATTAAAATATTTTCAGGTACAAAATATAGGTCTCGGTTTTGCCTTCATCAAAGGATATATTATTTAGCGCAATGTTGTATTTTGAAGAGGAAAATGCAGTTATAGCAATTTGGTATTATTATACCTCTTTTGACTATAATATTAGCCATATTATTATATTAGAGCAATAAAATTGTTTTTTGAGTTTTTGTTTTTAAAAGTTTCTTTAATTCTTACACTACATTGTTTAAGACTAAATTTCTATTTCTGCACACTTTTTAAAAAAGCGTTCAAGGGAATTTGATGTTGTTCCAATTGGACTGATTTTTATACATTTAGTGTGAAAGAGTTAGTTTTTTTTAAACTTAAAAAAATTAAAATCTTCAAATAACGAGAGCGTCTTGCATGACAGAAACACCATTACTTTACTTTAAAACAAATTTGAAGTGCAAATCAGATCTTGTATGTTTAAAGTAAAAGCTGAGACTTGAGAACATTATCGAAATATGCAAAGTAGCGATTTTTTTTGTGTGTGTCAGCCCATTCACCCCACTTTTAACCTTTTTTTCGCCCCTGATGTGTCTTTTTAACACCTTTTCTTGGCCCTGGCGGAAGTGCGAAACAACGAGCCCGAAAAAAAGAGGAAATTTGGACAGTGCAGTGACTACGTGCAAGGCATGAAACAGTCGTCCCCTTGACGCAACCGCCTGGTTCTTGCAACCAGCCACCAGCCACCTGCCACTTTGCACTCTCCACCTGCCACCTGCCATTTCCCAATGCCCGACATCGCACCTCTGGGCGGTCATGTCGGCTCTGTGAGCACACCGATGGCTTGCGGTTTTTATAAAGCGATCCCGAAATAGAAACTAAGTTGCATGCACCCCGAAATAGCGCACGGCAGAAGCTTTGGGGTGGCATTCCATCCAGGGGGAGTGGGGGTGCATGTCAGACATTCCATTTAGCTGAGCACTTGGGTCGGAAATGCATGCCGCGCATTGGAAGCGAGTAAGTCAATAAGGACTGCTTTTAACCCCCCATCCCTTCCTTCCTGGACTTGACTTGACTATAGCCATGCACTTTAGCCATTTAAATGCATCCTTTATTGCATTTTAATTGCAGGCCAGTGGAAGTGGAAGATTTATATGCTGGCCAAGAGCAGCAGGTGCTATCTGCGGTTTTGGGCCCTCCATTTTACGCACACTTTTAGCCACGAAATTGATAAATGAGAGCGGGGCACGCGATTCTGCTTGCCGTGGACTCATTACCTCCGGCTTACGTACACCCTGGCGTATGCGTAATATTTATATAATGCTATAATGCATTATGCTCTGGCTAAGCATGGTTTTCAATGCCGGAGCGGAAGTTAATGTGTAAACTGCAGCAAGTTAGCAGCTTGAAAAAGATATACTCCCTATATTGTGGAGAATTCCCAGGCCCTATCAAATAATGTGTAAGCGGTGAAAGTGTTAGCGAAACAGCTTTCTCCACTCTCTCCACTCTCTTTCTCTGGTTTTCTGGCACGGCACGTGGTTGTGCGTGGGCGAGCTGAAAGTTATGAGTGTAAAATGTAAACAACAATAAGGAGGAGTCCGACTCATGAACCTGCCAACATGGGCCTTCATTTGCGTGAATAAATTTATGACTGTCCAGGGGTGCCATATACTCCGCTTCCTATTTCGAGGATAACAGAATGCGGAAACGTGGGTTGCGGAATGAACTGCGTGAAAGTTGTGAAAATATGTTGACCGGAAGCGAACCTAGCCATGTTAAATCAATACTAGGGTATTTATAACATTGGGATTTAGGGGCTTAGAAATAGTTTGTTGTAGAATCCCTCTTGTTTGTTGATTTCTCTGAAATGTTTATTCAAATTGTGCTCTTTTAGTTGTCTTTCTAGCTTCGTTTATTACATTTATAAATAAAATCTTACTTGTGAAAAAATAAAGACTGGTTATTTGAGTAGGCAAAAGCTTTAAAGGCCTTGTTTAGCCACTACTAAGAATATTGTATTGAAAATTTAATGACATTTAATTTTGATACAAAAATCATTTACTTGACTAGAAATACATGTTTTTTTTACAGTTTATCATTGTAACTTGGCCAAAAAAAAATTAACAGCCATAGCTGAGGACCAAGAACATCAAGGCCTCGATTGAAACAATTCGATTTCAATAAATAACATTGTGAATAACAGCTGCGGATGCCAATCGATTGGTAATATTTTTAAGAGTTGATTGATGAGTGATATACCAAATTCTTCATTTATTGGCATTGTAATTACCAGAATAGTTTTTTTTTCGGACCAACAAAATTAGTTGAAAGAAATAACACTTGACACTCATTTTTTAAACCATTTTTAATTATTCTCTACCAGATAAAGAAACTCTTTTTCAAAACTTTTTTATTAAAAGTCTTTTAAAACAAGTTCTGTGGCACACAAATTTGATTTTCGCTTGGGTGGTATTTCCGCAGCCCAAGGTTTCCTAGTAATTGAGAAACTTTGACTGTCCAGCCATAAACTGAATAAATAACCAGGAAGTGAAATAATAAAGCAGTTTTATTATTGTGCTTCCTGGCTGAAATTAGTGTTCGTAATAAATAAAATGAGTATCGAAGTAAACAGATTTAATTCGATGCTGGGAAACCATTGAACCCGTTCGATTGCTGGACAATGCTCGCTTATCGGTCCCAACCAACTCTGGTTTTATTATATTATTTGTATCCCCCTTCCCCACCAGAGCCTCGTTTGTGCGCTATACCCGGCGATATCCTAACAGACACAT